CTGTTTTCAGAGAGTTTGTCTTTTCTATGGAGTGAAGTAACATAAAATGAACTAGTAAAAAATGCACCACTGTCTTCCGCTGTTTTGCATTTTTAGTGTCTTTTTTAAATTTTTGGCAGTACTCTTTACGTTTATATGATTCTAATCCGCGTACCAACAGGCTTCCCGCAGCCATCTGGATTTAAGTGTGCTCATTTTGATTGGTTTCCCCCTCCTTTTCACTCGATTTCTGCTGATATAATTTACCTAAAGTGTCCGGAAAGCAAACCTGTCCGGCTCCACCCCCTGGCAGCGAGCGGCTCGGCACAGACGGCTGGGATTGCTGCTAGCCACCAATTTCCGCTGTGCTTTTCCCAGTCTGTTTCGCTGCGCTGCTCTTCCTGCCTCCCTCTGGCCTGTCCCCTTCGATTGCACAAGCGCGGCAACCCAGATTATGGATGGTGCAGCGTTATATTTAACATCTTCTCACACGCATAAGTTCAGTGGGTGTCTCGCCCTGCTTGGTGCTCTGCTCACCATTTGCTGTGGTACCACGTTAATCTGTAACAAAGGTGTTTTTATTGGACTTTGAGTTGAATAAAAGCCAACAGTTTTTCTATTTTGTACTTCTGTGAAATATTTCATGCAATGGTGTGTTGAGATGCGTCTCTCGTGCATGCAGCCCTTCCCCCACCCTTGTTGACCTATTTTCAGTTCATTAAACCCCCCTCTTTAGGTCCTACCCTTATTGAGGTTTTTCTTTCTTTTCGAGTTTGGGCCGTGTATGCGTGATATGTATTACATTGTGGGGACCAAATGTCCTCACAACGTGATTTAAAACTGTTATTTTGACGTTGTGGGGAACATTTTTTTTTTTCTGGCCCCAATGGGGAAATTCAATTTTTCTAAAAATCTGTGAATGCAATCAAAAACCTAAAAATGCCAAAAGCTTTGTATTTTGTTTAGTTACTTAAGGTTAGGGCTGGGTAAGGGTTAAGGTTGTCAGTGTTGGGATTTGCAAAGAAATGGATGGACAGTCCCCGCAAAGATATGAATACAAATGTGTGTGTCCCAAGAGTGTTCATTTGATTTCTTTTTTCAAGTATATATTCCCTTCTGTTCAGCAGTTTAATTAGATTTAAGGAGGTGGGGGGGGGGGCGGGAGGGAAGTCTGCTGCAAGAAGTTGACTTTTGAAGCTCTTAGTGTCTAGTTCAGGTCTGCATCACTCCAGGATTAACTATGTTCTGTCTGTGCACTGCGTTACTTTGCTAGGCTGCCATCTGCGTGCAGTTTTGTTTGCCCTCTGAGTTAATATGCAGATGTATCATTGCTGGGGGCATTTCGGGTGGAGAACGCCACGGTTCATTCCGGCCCAGTGGGCCCTGCGGAAGCTCCGTGACACGCCCCCAAGAATCCCGGCATCTGCTGTCCCATCGCACCTGAACCGTGAGCCCCCTCCCCTTCAGAAGCATGGCGCTGCAACCCTACACCGGTGCATTAACCATCGGTTCATGGGAGGCTGTGAAGCTGAGCCGTGGTTACAGTAGTCCCCACGCTACTGGGCTAACTGGTTTTGCCACTGTGCCACGGAAAGGAGGGCCCAGGCCGGGGGAAACAACAAGCTTTTTGTGTTTCGTTTTGACCTGGTCGTTTGAACTGCGCCATCGGCGAGTAGACTGAAGACGGTCCGGCTTGCTAGCTGCCCCGAAGGAGCAGGGATCGGATAAAGCGGCATAACGGAGAGCACCCTGAAAAAAATCACCTTAATCAAGGCGCGCGTGACTACACCGGTGTTAACTGTGTCCACCGGCCCTTTAATTACGGAGCCCCTAAACATATGTCACTGTCGACATTGCCCGGGAGACGGAAACGACCTTTTTATCTTCAGTCACCTGCATGCCTGGAGCAGTAAAAGCCAGTCTCTATGAGCCCACCGCAAAATTGCTGTGGTTAATTTTTATTTTCCGGTCTGAAGATGCCATTTAGTGATATGTATTGTGGAAATGGGTAATGAGTAATATTTTGGGAGAGGGTAGTAAAGCCCAGTAGAGTTGATTAAGGATGTAGCATTATGGTGGTGTTACTGCGTATAAAACCGAACATTTTCTCCCTATTCCTATTGGGAGTTGCATCTCCTGCGAATATGGCGGTAATATTAGTATTAGCATTCTATTTTTGCTTTCTCCCTCCACCAAAATACAAAAGAACAAAAACAAAACAGATTATGTTCAGTGCTTCCCCAACCTTGAAATGTGCTAGATTAGTGAGTATGGAAATGCTGTATGGGCCATTTGAAATAGATGTTTCTGGAAAGCAGTATGCATGTTTTGACAGTGTAAAACTACACATAGATTTTGTGTGTAGGGTTAATGCTAATGCTTTTAACAATTACCACACACATTCCATCTCTGGTCAAACAATCCTTACAGTTTGTAGATTTTAATAGTTCAGCTATTCTTTTCTATTTTTTTGAGCTTTAATGTAATCAAACTCATTTTTGTCTTATCCCTTTTCTGGTATTAAAGATTTAAAATCAATGCACTTTCCCTTTCATACTAAATTTAAACATTGCACTCAAATCCTCCCTCCTCTCACCATTGAAAATTTTTAACCCCCCTCTGTAGAGCTACAATCCTGCTGATTCAACGTTCTGTTGTGTATTAAATATAGTGACGAGTACCTTTTGATTTGTGTATCAGAAACGGATTTAGACTTGCCCAGTGCTTTCATTTGTGTATTTATTTCCTGTTTTCCCTGCCTACCCCTCCCCCCTTCCCTGATCCTTCCCAGGAAGCACTGAGGGCAGAGAGCCCTCCTCCCCCAATAGACACATTTGTCAGCCAATGGCTGTTTGTCACACTGCAAAGCTACAAAGCACAGCCCAGAAGAGCGAGTCCCTCTGGGTGGAATGGCACATCTATCAATGCGGGCTGCCAGGACCTCAGCAGGTTCCCGTGCGGCTCCAATACAGCGGTCAGCTGAGAGAGCCAGGCCACTTAAACTCCTCCCACCCCCCATAAAACAGTGTCACTTACATTCTCCTGCAGAAACGCTCAGTCACATGACGTTACTCAGCCTTGTCCTGTGGCATGTGGCGCAGAACTTAATCCCCCTCTGAATTTTGAGGGAGAAACGAAGTAAATGGCTATGATAGACTTATCCTGAACTTTGAAGTGCCTTAGGATAGTTATTTTATGCATCTGTATGCTAGAGCAGAGGGATTTTTTCCCTTGAATGACATGTTCTGAACCCTTCCTGGATTATATTTTTGTCCCCAGGCTTCAACACATTTAAGCCAGACCACCACTTTATCAGTCTAATTGCAGATGGAAAATCCTCAGAGGGCTATATTAGTCTTTTTTTTTTTTTTTTTTTTAACTTCCTGTTTCGTGTAAAATGTTTTAATTTAGTTTAATGCATAGCATTGTAGTTGTTTTCTGCAAGTTAATCCTTGCACAAGATGGTTATTTTTAAAACAAGGCAGTAGCCTACTGAACTGTCATACAGTACTATATCAGTGCTACTGCTGAATTTGTAGAAATCTCTGGAGAAGGCCAACCCCAATTATGTGTAATTACACATGATGTTTACTGAAAAAAAAAAAACCTAGTGTGTTGACACGCCAAGAAAGGCCTAAGGTCTAACTGCACCGAATGTTAGCTCTGTGCAGACGGTCTCTGCAGTGATCAGTGCAGTACAGGCTTCCTGGAAAACTCCATGGCTGTAAGCTGTCCCATTGCAGAGGTAGAACTCTCTCTATCAGGGATTAATGTTGCAAGTTTATTTCATTGTATGTTGTGTACCATGTCCCATGTAATGTAAATTCCAAAACATCATTCAGCCAGTTTGTGGTTGTTACATCTGATAAAATTATGTGAAGGAGAGACAAACGAGTGTAGCTAATTTATTTTTCTGTGCATTCCTGCTTAAACGCATAAGCAGGAGGAGCGTGGTACCATTCAAATTTTTAATGGCCCTGAACTATATGGGATGGTTATACAAACACTCCCTGGGTTACAATGGTCCGTGTTACGATATTTTGTTTTTACGATGGGTAAATCCATGTACATTATTCAATAAATTACATGAGATATTCAACCCTTTATAATAGGCTTTATGTTAATGATTTTGCTCAACTGTAGGCTACTGTAATTGTTCAATGCATGTTTAAGGAAGGCTAGGCTTGCCCAGTGTTTCCCAACCCGGTCTTCGGGGAACCCCGGACAGTCCATGTTTTTGCTTCCTCTCAGCTCCCAGCGCACCTGTAACAGGTATTCGGTGTTCCTGATTGGCTGGGAGCTGGGATGGAGCAAAAACATGGACTGTCCAGGGTTCCCCAAGGACCGGGTTGGGAAACACTGGGGTGAACTGTTTATTAGGTGTACTGTACTAAAATGCATTTTTTGCCGTACGATAGGTTTATCGGAAGGTAACCCCATTGTGACCTGGGGAGAGTCATTACTGTCCTGAGCTGTACCACAGCTCTTTTGCTTCTTTGACTATGTCCTTGTCAAACTTTTTAGTAAATAGATTGGCTTTCCTGAGCATTTCCTGTCTTTCTAGTGGCAACGGTAGTAAATAATTTAGGGGAGTAAACACGCCTGGGCTTTTTGTTGACTTCTAATGCACCCCCTCCTCCCCAGTCTGCAGGGGAACTTTTCCACGAAGCCTGCGATCTTTATAAATTTATAGATGGATTGAGCTCAGAACTTGCATGAAAGAATTTTCGTTGACCTGTAAATTGCATGTTCATAATTTTGCCTAAAGGTTTTAGGAAAAGGTCTCGTTTATGGTTAATTCATTTATTTACTTTACATTTGTGTTTCAGCAGTTGCTTTGGAACTGAAGAAAAATCTGTCAATTCTTCCTAAAACTGTTCAAATTTAAAATGCATGTATTCTCTTTTTACCCAATTTATTCACTTCTCAAACCTTCAACACTTACAATTTACTAATACATTTGCTTTACTCACCTAATACGTCTTTCCCCTCTTTCCCTCTCTCCCTCTGTCTCTCTCCAGAGAAATTCGCTTGGCCAGAGTGGCAAAGATGTAATACTTCATCAGATGACACAGGCAAAACATCTAACACGTTTTCAGGTACTGTTCTATGTGACACTAACCCCCCCTCTCATTGAAAAATGACTTGTACATCTAGAAGTTTTTTTTTTTTTGGCTATTATGGTGAAAATGTGCTAAGACCGTGACTCTTAAATTCTTAAGTCTGTCAAACGTAGGTCATGGAACAGCAGAATATAAAGTCCAAAGCTGGTTGAATACTCAGAAAAATGATTTGCAGACTAATGCGGTATAAACCTCCACCCTTACTGTGTGCCTTAACGTTGCTCTTAGCCATGATGCCTTATTGCGTGGGAAGAACTACTGAAACAGGTGTAGCTTAATGAAAATGGATCGGGGAGGAATTCCAGCAGCTTTTCTCTTTAATGTTTCCAGAGTCACTCACTCCCTTATCACCAATACAGACAAATGATTATTTGACTGGCTTTTCCTCAATTCAACACTCACCTGCTCTCATGTTCTGGGCCAAAATTTCTCAGATATAATTTTTTTTGTTAACTTAATGGAAATCCTTTCAAGCTGGATGTACTTTCTGGTATTATTAAACATCTGTCCTCCTATGCATGTACAAAAGTGCACTGTCACATAATAAAACTTGGGTGTGCTATGACTCACAAATAAACCACACCCTTCCGTGGTATGCTTCTTGTTTCCGCAACAGATTGAAATACTTTGAGGTTACGTGCAAAAACGATGTCTGGATGACAAATGGCATTTTGCAGAGAAATCAAGGTCTATTTTGTTGGATGACCTGAGGTGCATCTCTCTATTTGGGGGGGGAAAAAAATAAATAAAAATGGCTCGATGCACTTGGCATCCAGAATAGGAACACCTCAACACACACTCAGTGACAGAAAAATAGTTAAGCACCCAGTAGTAATGGTCTGATTTGGATGTAATTTGATACATGTGCAGATCAGCAATGGGTATATAAATGATTCGATTTGCAAGGCGCTGGCATCTTTAGTCACCAGACACAGAGGATGCTCCTTAAACGCATTAGAGAGCATTACCGGCACTTGACGGAGTTTGATGGGGGTCGCATTGTGGGTTTGCATGAGGCCGGGTGGTCGTCGTGTTGGAACCAATGGGCACGTGAGGGCACCCACACACGTCGTGAAGGTTCCGGTCGCCCAAGACAGACCACACCAAGGGAGGATCATTGTGTAGTGCGCCAAGCATTACAGAACCCCATGACATCTGCGCCTGCCATCCGGACACAGGTATTGGACACTCTACAGCACCCCGTGTCACCCAACACCGTGTCTCGACAACTGGCATCAGCCGAACTACGGGTTCACCATCCCATGTGTAGCCTGCCGTTCACACCAGTGCAGAGATGACTGCGTTTGGACTGGTACCGTAACCGGGAGGCATGGACTGATTACGAGTGGCGATGAATCTCGGTTCTGCATTACCACGGATGACCATCCGGTGTGCTTATGGCAGTGCCGATGGGAGAGGACCAATATTGCCAATGTTGTGGTGAGACGCATTGGCATTACTCCTGGCGTCATGGTGTGGGGAGCCTTAGGGTATGACATCATGGTGTGGGGAGCCTTAGGGTATGACATCATGGTGTGGGGAGCCTTAGGGTATGACTTCAGGTCATCTCTGCTAGTGACTCGGGGGGCCCTGACTGCACAGCGCTACGTCAGTGACATCCTGCGTCCGCATGTCTTACCCCTCCTGAGACAGCACCCTGGTACAGTCCTTAAACAAGTCAACGCCCGTCCACTCATGGCACGTGTGTCTATGGACTGCCTGCGTCATGTTGGGGTTTTCCTGTGGCCAGCCAGGTCCCCCGATCTTTCCCCAATCGAACATGTGTGGGATCAACTTGGACGTGAACTCAGACCCAGTGCCAGTCTGCAGGATCTCGAGGGCCAACAACAGCTGTTGGCCGACTTTACCGCAAGAGAGGATACAACAGCTGTATGACTCCCTTCCGCACCATATCTCTGCATGTATCCAGGCCCGGGGGGGGGAAGGGAGTGCTGCACCCTATTGACATGGGACCAGCAGTGTGCCCATCTGATGATATAATCATTGCTATAGTCACATGACCTTTCACCACGTGCAGATTCGTTTCATTTCCATCACTCAGTCTGAGTGCTTAACCGTTTTTGTCACCGAGTATACGTTTGCCGCTAGTTATTCCTGAAAGGCTGATTACCCCATTAATCTGTGTTTTGATGTCATAATGGAGCTCATGTTTAATGTGCATGGTGGGAGGGAGCGAAACGAGTATGGTGCCCTGTTCTACGAATGATTTTACTCGTTTGATAATATGATGAAATGCAGGGTACTTAGTTCCCTGAGTTGTGATTCTTTTTCACGCTCTTATTGGATATTGTGCACCTAAAGACATGCAGTTGTAACTTTTAATGTCACAAATTGTGATGCTGGGTGATGATTGGTTACATATGCTGTGTACACTTCTTCAGAAAATGCTTCTATTTTTGCCATATATAATTAGCGAAGACGAGCTAATCCATCTTGTGTGCCTGTTGCCATGTTCACCAGTGGTTGATGAAAGCCACATGCAAAGTGGTGCAGGATATTGCAGTATAATGCACGCACTGTGACACCCCTGCTAAGGATGAACAGTGCTGTTTGCAAATGTGGTCCACGTTCGTTTGGTGGATGGAGCCAGATCTGTTCTTTTTCTGCACATTTGTTTTTTGTTTTGTGTGTGTGCAGGCAATGAGGGAGCAAAATTTTGATTCTCATGACAGCCAGACATGCTTGTCACGTCTCTTAGATGACCCCCCACCGCCCCCCCCCCCCTTTTGATGTGCACATTAAGGATACCAGTTCCTTAATGTGCACCTGGTGACAGGTGGTCAAGATGGCCAGTTCCCGTTCAGGGGAGTAATGTTGTGTTAAAGTGATCGACCTGCTTTGAAAGCAAATGAAACTGTTGCCACTTTTCCCAGCTGTAGCTGTGGGAGACTTTTCATCTTAGTTTCAATTTAAAAACTTTAATTATGAGGGTTTTGTGTACTAGAGGCATTTTTCTTTGGTCAGGTCACCATTACTCTTTTGAACAGAAACGTTTCTCACCTAAACAGTGACTCAGTGACTGTTCAGGCATATCAAGAACCATTTTTTAAAATCCCTGACAACTCTTTAAAATTAGAGGAAAGCTTCTTACTGCCTTATTTTTAGGTCTCTCTCTCTCCTTGCCAGTGCTGTCGTGCATATATGTATTTTTTATATATAATAAATAATATAAAATATTGTGGCGTGCTGAAGACAGCACTACAGAAAATGGCCGCCATTGTGTTGAGAACTCCACTTCCCATAAGGATGCAGGGAAGACTCGGTGACCTCACCGGTCAGCCTTTGAGAGGTTTTATGATGCAACAAAACAGGAAGAACTGCACTGCTAGGGAGATAAATATTATCCTGTGCCTTTGGCTGTAAAAGATTCAGTGGCAAGGTTGAAGGTTTGCATGGTGTGCCGTCTGAGTTCCTCCATCTTGCTATACACCGTTCCGTTGTCTGGTGTCTGTGAATTTGTAGTTGATGCGTTAATCAGGTTAAAATTAAAAAGTTCCAAGTTAGATCTTTGAACACACAAACGTTGTATATCTTAGGTATATGTTTCAGGATTTTTTTAACCAGTTTTTTTGTGACTGCTTGACTTTTCATGCTTTGTGGTTATAATGCACAGTGTATTACAGTGCGAACATCTTGGATGTTTTATATCGAGAGCCCACCGTTCCCACGGTCGCTTATTTATGGGTCCTGGAATCCCTTCATTTTTGAGACAATGCCTTGTAAGAGACCTGTCAATTCGTGTGGGATCGATGGCCACCTTATCCCTCCCCTTAATATTTCTTAAACCTTATCTTCTTAAAGTTTCTTTTGAAAAATGTTACATTGGATTTTAATGTAAGGTCTACCAGATGTGTTCCTTCATCTGTATGGGAGGTACGGCAGCTTTGTATTTACAAACCTGGAATGTGGGAGATGATGGAGGACTGGAATGTGAGAAGTAAGGGAGGAGATCTCCAAGCCCTAATAAAAACCACAGAGAAACGGAATGGGTGTTATTTAGTGCTGCAACATCCCTTAGAGGACTGGTCTTCAATCATTCAATTTCTACAGTTATTGGCTGGTAGCCATGGTGGTTTCACAATAGTCATGCGTTGTTCTAGAATTCAGCGGCTAAGTATAGTTTCGCGTGTTTAGTCACAGTGTTTATGTGGGAGGTTGTGCTTCACCTTGGGTGGCATCTGGGATCCCGATGCCCAAAAGGTGGTCTAGTGGAGAAATGCGGGCCAGCACTCCGTGGACTTCTCAAGGAGACAATCGCCAGATCGCCAGCAGACAACTGCCCATTCATGTTCAGTACTGAAGAACCACGTACAGCATAAGATCACATGACTGCCAAGAAGCGGCAAGTGGCTGGCTGCTGTGAACCTTGCCCATTGTGAGGGTGTCTAGCCAAACAGACTCATGGGAAACTGCAGGCAAAGGAAACAAAGAACGCCTGATCCATGTGATGCCCCTGCTCTGCAGGCATATTACCCCCCCCCCCCCCTTCACAGTTGCCTGATGGGAAGGGGGACTTTGATTAAAACTGGCCTGAGCCTGCCTTACACACAGCAAAGGCTCCTACAGCAAGTGAGACTGCCAGAGTCTGTTTGATTTAGTGTCCTGAGATGTGGGTAAACAGAACCGTTTGTCAGGCTCCCTCTTTATCCCGAGTACGAGGTTTTACATCAGGGACAGAGGTTGCTGACAAAAAGTTGAATCAGCAATTCCACCCACAGCAGAGCAGAAACTAATTAGTGCTGAAAAGCAGAATTGTTTTTATTTTTTCTGTTGTTGTATATGAACATAAGTGACTGGAGAGCAATTGAGGCTAAATCATTGCAGGAACACTTTTGTATGTTGGGGTAGATCATAGAAAAAAATGGATGTTTGGCTGTGACTGGGGAGCCTGTTCAGGAAAATGGCTCCCCGGTATCGGTACAGAGCTGTACTGAAGGTAAATCATGGGTAGGGGAGGCTGATAGGAGTCACATCTCAGGGCTCCTCACACCTTATGGTCACCCTGGTAGAGTTAGTGAAGGTCATTTTAGAAAACCAACTTGATCCACTCGTCTTGGAAGAACTACCTTTACCAGCCTTTGTGGGGGGAAGGGAATGGTCCAACATTAGCCTTTGGGGCTTGTGTCCACTGTAGCTCTGTAATGGTTTTGTTCTTTTTTCTGTCCAGTGAGCTCTCAGTTTTGTTGGTCGTTTGTGTAAATGGAGCAGTCCCCCAACTGTGTGTGACTGCATGGCTAGAATAAATGATCAGGGTTTTTTTTCTTTTTGAATATAAAGACGGCACAAATGTATGTGATCGAATGCTATACATAATACAGAGGCTGATCAATATTTTAAGGCATGTCTTTGTAATGATGTATTTTTTAAGTGGGTTCTGGTGTCCAGACACGCACAGAACCACTGCAGGTTTCTGCCATCAGGTTCGTTTTGGTCAGAGGGGAGGAGAAAAAAAGTAGCAACTGTTATATATGAAATGTGCATACTTCAAAGAAGAGTTACCCCCGGCAAGGCACAGTCCTCCACTGACCTAGTTATTTCGCGCTTGAAAGGCTTTTCTCGTTTACTTTGTAGTGATGTCATATTTAAATACGCTGAACTGTATTTGTCGGTTTATTTTTGTGCGTGCAAATGCACGACACATCCTATGTTTTGGCTTCTTTAATTGTTGTGGAACCGTCGTACGATTACCAGCATTCAGAAAAGAATATTTTGCATCATATACCCACTAATGAAATAAGTAACTTGGTTTCTGGCTGCAACTGTGTTTCTTCAGTTATCACTTTAGGTCATTCCGATTTTAGTTTTGAGTAACTGATGAGCAGTTGTCTGTTCGGAAAATTAGGTAAAAACTAGATTTGTGTGACAGTTACTTCTCTGTTCGATCGCCCTGTTAAAGGATAGTTAATTTGTTTCATGATTGGGCGAGGAATTCAGCTAGATGGTGTTTTTAGTGAACTGCCCATATACCAGAGGTTAAAATGAGCCATGCCTTGTGCAATGTTAAGTCTATTGACGCCTCCTTTTACAAGAAACAGGCATTGAGCCATTTGTGACCAGGTAGAGCAAATGCACAGAAAGCTCTCAATGTGAACTGTGTTCATTTTATTTAGCACAGGGGTAGGAAACCTGATCCACGGAGAGCCCCTGTGGATGAGGGTTTTTGGGATGACCCCTCAATCAGCCAATAACAGTGGGTCCTCCATACTGGAGATGAGAAGCACTGCTTTATTATTGGCTGGGTCAGGCAGGTCCTAGAGCAATTGGAGTTAAGGGCCGCCTTTAAGGGCTCACCCATGACATTACTCTGCCAACTGCGGGATTTGAACCGGCAACCTTCCGATGGCGAGCACAGCATCCTCTCCCGCTGAGCCGCACACCGACCCATCTTTATTATTTTGTTCGGAGTGTTCTGCATTTCTTAGGGAGGTGCTGTGTTGCTTCAGAGCTTTCTGGAAAGTGACTATGTGGAGTATTGTTGGAACAGGGGCAGATCCACTGTCTGTCAGAGGAGATGAAAGCCCCCCCCCCCCCTCCCAAGGCCTTGCTGGGTGTATTGCAGCTGCTGCGTGGGTCTGCCTTGACAGCTTCGAGGCTTTAATGTCTCATAGTTAATTAGTCTGTGCCTTGTCACAGCCCCAGGGTATCCTTTGGGTGGGAGGGATTTTGTTTTTTTGTGTGTATTGGGGTGGGGGGGGGGGATTTTAAGCTGCACTGTTCACTCTGACTTGAATGAAATTTTCAAGGGTATCAATAAGGGAATTCCTATTGTTTTCTGTTTTTTTTTGTTAAAAGGGTTTTAAAAGTGGTTTGCTGTTTAATTAAATGGATACATGCTTGGAAAGATGGGTTGTGTTGTGATTTTTCTTTATTATTATTTTTGACCAGATTAAAGGGCATTTATTGAGGATATGATGTCGATAACAGCTTACCGTTTCCCCGTAAATACTCTCTAGCTTGGATCACCTGGCATTAACTAGCATCTGGCCTTTGCTTGCCTCGTGTCATTTAATATGACGTTTGGCATTATAGAAAAGCTTATGACTATTTCTTTACGTATAAAATATTGATATATTTTGGTCATTGATCTGTGATTTTGGTCTGGATTGTTAAAGGAAACACTGAAGTAGGTTGATGTTTTGCTGCAGTAGAAATAACCATGAAATAACGTCCATTTTCTCTTCTCGTACAGTTCGGGGATTGTTTTGTGTGCCATATGGATCACAGTATGGTTCTTGGCAGCATCTCGCCACCATTTAGACTACAGGTTTCAAAGTACCACGGATTCATGGGAAACTGAGGATTACAAATGGAAGGGTTAGGGAAGATCTGACAGAGTAATATAGGTGTTGTCTATCATGCCAGAAATACTGTAAATATTGCATCTTTGGACCTACGGCGTCAACTGGAGCTCGAGTTTCTGGTGATACCAGAGGGTGGTGATTTTAATTTATTTATTTTTTCTTCATATGATGAATTGCAGGCGCTCTGTTTGGAGTCAATATGCTGTTGTTTATTTTTAATGCTTGCAGCATCACTGGGCCGTTTTAAACAGATGGAATTCTCCTGTAAGTGTGACTCTTCTATTTGGGTGCCATTCGGTTTCTCGTGTACTGTAAGCCGTGCCGGCACTCTGATGGTAAAGCCAGAGGTCCCGCTGAAAGCCACCCAGCTCAGGAAGTCGTCATTGGATCATCTGGTCTTTTAGAGCGATGACAGAAAAATAGTCACTGGGGATGTGTTATACTCCGTTAAGAAATCATAAATGATTATTTAACCGGAATGGAAAGGCCAGTGGACTGTAGAAGAACCCAATGGTTTGGCTTTGAATGGGGTTCAGCTTTCAGAATTTGGAAACCAGTGACTTGTATGAGACCTTGAAGGGGGTTTTCTCTGTTTGGACAACATTGGTTGGTAGCCTTTTACCACACACAAAAGTTGCAAGTTCATGTTCCAGTCATCCCATTTTCCATCTGTTCCGTTTTATTTGTACGCTTTGGGTTTTGATGGAAAGCTTGTTTTGCAGTGTTGTGGTTATGTTCTAACAGTCTCTTCCCCTCGCTCTTATAAAGGTTCTACGTACAGCGTGTTGTCCACGATGCCATCTGACTCTGAAAGCAGCAGCTCGCTCAGCAGTGTAGGTAGGTCTGGGGTTCAAAATCAGCTGAATGTTTCATGGGTGATGTGTGTTATAGTCTAGTGTGTTTATATTAGGGGTGTAACGGTACACAATATATTATCAAACTGTTTGATACGGTAAAATGTGATTATTGTGCAACATTTCAGAATGATGCTCCTGTTTAGTCTTGTTATAAATCCAGTGCCCCATTTTTCAGACCCTTATTGTTTCTCAGTTGAATACTATTTGGAGTTCAAGGATATCCAGAGTAGGTACATGAACCGCGGTATTACGATATGCCTATAATTTTCCTATACGATCTGCCGCAAATATAAGATGGTGTGTGTTTTTTTTTTTTTTTTTTTTTACCAAAAAGAAATGCATCTAAAAAAAGTGGGTCGTCTTATTTTTGAGGGCTAGAATTTAAATGTCATTATTCAACAGCAGATGGTGTAAATTATCCTCCTTCTGGCTGAAGACCTTTAGCCGCATACGTTGAACGTAATTTACATCGTTTCAGCAATACAACGTAGGAACGGTTATCCCAGCCGCTGTCAACAGTTGGGTGACGTAGTGTGATGCTGTGGGGTTGGTCAGTAGCTGCCATCATAGTTATTTTCTCCCAATGCAAAGAGTATGTTGTAGCCTTAAAAATTCACGTTCTTCCTGGGGGGAGCACCAGCTGCATTTTACAGCAGTAAATTTTCATTGCGACGTTGCTGTCAGGAATGTTTTGTAACACCCTTTTTAACCAGATCAGTTATTCCGAACTGCACAATGCATTGAATTTTGTCAAATAAATGCTTTGTATCTGATGTGAATATGGGGAGGAAAGGGTATCACAGACTTTTCACATTGCACTTGTGTTGTGCTCCGGCCTTACCTGTCATGCGGAAAATGATTACCGCTTTGTCATCGTGCCGCACTTGGGTGTTTGTTAATGTTTTGGACGTGTGCAGAAGCGAGGGCAGAAGGATTCAGCATGCCAGTCAGCCTGTCCCTTGTAGTTGAACGCCTTGTCATCACTGTAGAGCGTAGCAGTTTCCCTTCTTAATGCATTTAGATTTACTGCATTCTGCAGTACTGCAAAATGTTCAGCATTTGTGCCCCTGAATTTCCATTTTCTTAAGTATTTCGTAAGTGCTAGCTAATTTGTTAAAGCTAATAACGCAGTGAACGCATACTGTCTATATGATCAGTTCAGTTATGCCGACATGATAATATCACTAGATCTAAGGCCCTGTCCTGCTGTAAGCTAGGAGCTATACTTGTATATGCCCTGGCCAGGGACCCTGGATTGCGTCCCATGCGCCATGGTCCGAGGGAATTGCTTTGCCCGCAGTCACATGCTTACCGTTGCAGGTACGACCGGTAAAGCCTCCTCCCCCCCGCCGGCGCTGACGGACAGCAAGCAGGCCAACGACAAGCTGGAGACGGTGCTGTTCCAGCTACGGCAGGTGACCCGTGAGCGGGATGAGCTACGCAAACGCCTCGCCCTCTCCTCCCCCGGCACCACCTTCGACGACTGTCGGTACGGGACCCGGAGCAGCACTCAGTTTGTCTGCATCCTTTCCGCTGCGCATGAATGAGATCAGCAGCCTAAATTAAAACCAGTTCCTCTGTGGCTCATTGATTTAAATTGGTTTTTGTTTGTTTTATGCTTTTGAGTATGAAAGAAGTGTTTATTAAAAAATGTTTTTTGGTGAGTAGATGTAATTACTGAACTGTCAGACGCGTAACATGAAACCGGTGTTTGCGGATGCTGCTGTGGTTTCCCTGACAGAGGTCAACCACCTATTAGTGGTTGTGTCCAGTTCATCCTAGTTGGGTATGACTGCTTGGTGTTTGTGTCAGCATGCAGGCCACTGGATGCAGTGGTAGCAGTGCTCATCCTTTCTTTATGCCCTTTTGAATAGGTGTTTTCTCACCCCCAGGAGCTTGGCCTGATTGTAGGTCCTCGGGGGTGTTTCCTAGACCTTTTTTAGTCCCTACTCCAGAGTAGGTACTTTTTGCTGAACCAAGAACTACTGGGTGAGGCTTATAGGGATAAACTTTGCTAATCAGTTGACCATAAGCAGCAGCGCTAAGTTGGAAGTGAAAATAGCAACAGAGCAAAAAATGTGAAGATGGAATTATTTTTTTTATTTTATCTTGGTTACATTACATGCCTTTACAAATACAATTTTTGCTTGCATCCCCATATTTCTGCATCGGAAAATTCGATCAATAACCGACATACATCGCCCATGCTGGCAGTGAAACTTGCCAGCACTTGTTAGTGAAATAACGTTATGTAGTTTCTTGTACCGTGGAAATAGATCTACTGGGCAGATTTAATAATGAATCATAAACATGTCGTGGGCTGCATAAGTATAATGTGATTTGTTCCATATTTTCATATTGCATGATCAATACCCCAAAAAATGAAAGCATAACTGTAGCAGAGTTAGGAATGGGCATTTAATCGAATTTGAATTTGTTACAACTTTGGCTTCCAGTGATTATCAATTCAAAATAATTGAGGTAAAATGTGATTATTGTGCAACATTTCAGAATGATACTCCTGTTTAGTCTTGTTATAAATCCAGTGCCCCTTTTTTCAGACTCTTATTGTTTCTCAGTTGAATACTATTTCAAGGATATCCAAGTTTTTTATATATATATATATTTTTTTTTAAGTCCAGTAAATGCGTAATATTTCTAAAGTCTGAGTAAACATGTTAAATAATCGTGATCTCAGTATTGACCAAAATAATCGCGAGTATGATTTTTACGAACTTTTTGCATCTACTGTGCTTGTTTAGGTCCCAGTTCCTGTTGTGTGGAGAGAAAGGAACACAAGTGGCCAGGAACTACAAAAGTTCCCAGTCGAAACGGCCCAGGAACTAGATTCCTAAACTTGGGTGGGAATGGCCCTTATGTGTTAATCATTAGTGTGCAGTTTGATCCCCTTTATGCCATTATAGCTACACATGGTTTAACATTGGTTACCCTAATATAGGCTGGTCCAGCTCCCATGAAAGGGCTTATGCCAGCGTTTCTGGCTTTGCAGTCTCGTGACGTCAGGGTAAAGCATTATCCTACTGAGCAAAGTCCTATCCTGCCTCTGTTTTGAAATACGCTTCCCGTCCTGCATCCCCAAGGCCCAATTCCAAGCTGAGCCACGACTACGAGCGGCTGAAGATGCAGTGCATGAAGGCGATGGCCGACCTGCAGTCGCTGCAGAACCAGCACACCAAGACGCTCAAGAGGTGCGAGGAGGCCGTCAAGGAAGCCGACTTCTACCAGTAAGTGCCTGCCGCGTTCTCAGGAGGCCTGCCCCCCCCGCAAGAAGTGCCGTGTCGTCATCTCAGAAAGGGAGTGCGCATTGATGCACGGTCCAGGCGCTCGGGGAGGAAGCGGGGACAGGTCAGCTGGCCGCGGCGATCCTGCTGCTGGATCTGCGTAAGCCGGCCCACAGGCAGCGGGTGCTCAGAAAGCACTTAGTGTTGGGTTTTAGCGGCGGCGTGCTGCACTGCCGCATCTCCCTGCATCATTCATGAATCTCCAAAGAGCAGTGGGGTTATTTTCTTCCAGGCTGAATATGGGATGATTTTGAATTTATATACACTGCGGTCTGCTTGCTCCTCCCTGCGTTCAGTTTTCAGATTCGACTATGAAGTTCAAACCCCTGCCCACTCTGTTGGCCCTTATTGTGTCATGCTACAGAGAGAGTTGTACTTGGCTGTTTGGCTCAGAAGATCCCCATGGATGTAGCTATTAAAATTTTATTTCCGTCTGATATGAATTCCGTAGGTCCTTTATTGTTAGCATTTTGCTTAATCAGCTCTAGCTTATGTCACATATTATCTCCGTTACTCATTCTTGCTCCAGGTATTATCATCTTGGAACAAGTCCTGTTAATCGGTTAATCTGTAAGTTCGCTGGGACCGTCCTGGTCAGTACGTTGGAGCTCGAAAGCTTTCCTGTTCACTTTGTATCGCTCCCTGTCCTTGGTGGGTCTTAATTGGGGATAGCTGGCCCCTGCTTGTCTCCCGGTACACCCTGTTACTTCTCCACACGGGTAAGGAGGAGTCTAGTGAGGTCACCGTGTATTAAAGTGCAGCAGTAGTTTCTGTTGAGCGTCTGGCTGGCTTATTCATCACGCCTGGAGGCTGGCATATGCTCGGACCGCCCCGCGTTCCCCTGACCGAGCCGCCGCCGCGCAGCGCCGCCTTGGCTTCTCGCTCGCCCCGGCTTCTCGCTCGCCCCCGTGTCGGCAGGGGCTCTTTTTGCCGGGCCTCTGTCCATCTGCAGCGTCTGATGGGTGGAAAGGCAGCCGTGCATTAAGGCAACGGTATGAAAAATAGCATACTTCTGCTGCAAGCGTGTCATGTGAACCTGCGGCGATAGCCCTGAGTTGCGGTAACCCCTTCGAAAGGACAGATCCTCGTTTTTAAGGGGTAATGATGTGCAGCTCTGATTCGTTTTTTTGCATTTCCATAAATGTTTTTGGTTTGTTTTTTTTTTTAGGACGTCTCACTCCTTCGTATAAAGTAATTATGTGCGAGGCTGTATGAGGCTGCTTTCAGCTTGGATTGAATTGGCGCCGTAATCCCGCCCTTCACTGGCTCGTCTGCTGGAGTTAACGCGGCTCCCGGGGCACGGGGAGCCGTCTTGCGTCACGGCGACACGCGGCTCCCGGGGCACGGGGAGCCGTCTTGCGTCACGGCGACACTCTGCCCCCGTCGTCTGGCACGTCGGCAGCTGGCTGCGGCGCAAACAGCCGCTCCCCGACCAGATGAGGGATTGCGATGACAAAATTTTAAGTTTCGTCCTCGGGGCCACGTTTATATCTCTCTGCATGCTGGCCTATGACATGATGAATGATGCGGCTGCGGGTTTCAGCGATGTAACCATCTGGAAAGTGGCCTGAGATGCACGTCCGCCTGACACGCAACAGTGTTTTGCCTCTCATGCTTCCAAAACGAAATCCATTATTTCAAGCGGCAGATTACGCTGATATGGTGAGACTTATCGCGCTCCGCTATACGCCCAATGGTGGTGCCACATCAATATTCATGCTGTTTTTGTTTCTGTCTGCTTTACATCCATTTATTTTAAGCAGATGCTTGTGTCCGAAGTTGCGTCCAAGTGAGGGTTGGAGAGCTGAGGATTTGAACCCGTAACCTTCTGTCTGTAGTCCTAACCTACAGAGATGCTGGACACTGTGATTCGCCCCGCTTTATTCTCTTGCTTGCGTCCCCCGCCGCTAACACCCCGCGCCCCCCCCCCCCCCCCCAGTACCCTGCACAGCCGCCTCCTGACTGACCAATCCCAGCTGAAGGAGGAGATGGACGCCATGAAGAGGGACAACTCGCAGCTGGTGCGGGAGCACAACCACCTGAAACAGAACTGCGAGGAGCTGCGGCGGCTGCATGACGAGGATCAGAAGGAGGTGGCGGACATGAGGCTCCAGCAGCAGCAGGTGCGCCGGCCAGATTCTCCTCCGTGCAGATGTCTGACTTTCTCGGCTCCTCCGGTCCTCCACAGGTCCACCATTCTCTATGCCGGTACCGTGTGTGGTCTCTACAGGTCCCCAAGTATCTGCTAGAGTACTGAAAAAGTTATTTTGCTCTTTATTTATTTATTTTATTTATAAGTAAAATTTGTTCCAACAAAAACTGTCAGTCTTGCAACTGCTTATCCTGATCAGGATGATAGGCCAGAGGCCTAGAGCCTACTGTCTGGTGTTTGGGGTGGGGGGCAGACTCTGGATGGGCTACCAGTCCATCGCAGGGCACATGCATGCATGCACTCAGTCACACACTAGGGGAAATTTAGAAATACCATTTAGCATGTCTTTGGACTGTGGGAGGAAACCTGTGTGACACGGTGACGATATGTAAATTCCATGCAAATAACATGGAGATAATCTGAAGGTCAAACCTGGAGATGTGACTGAACAGTGCTATTCACCATCCCACCCCTGAATTACTCAGTCAGTGGATTTTTTATTTTTTTTTGTTTTGGTCATGTGGCTTACTCACGAGTCATGCTGTTTCTGTGGTACAAATTCAGTATGTTTCAGTAAGCGATAAATGGAGTCGGAACCAAAGAGCTACAATTTATAGCCAGCAAAGAAATCCATTAAATACATCAGTAATGATTTATATTGTAATTGCTAATTGCAACAAAAGAAAAGCTTGGATTCCTGTGTTGTATACTTAAGAATGTCCAGGTTATATTAGAGAATCCAGACATTATCTCCACAGGACAATGGGCTGAAAGAGGCTACCTCCTTGCATACCTTGATGTCTTTTAAGATGCTGAGGTATGAAATAACATTGACATTGAAATACGAAGCTGAAGTTATCCTAAGAATGTGAAATACTACAGAAACGTCTTGTTTATCATCACAGGCGGAATGGTTGCCGTTTTCCCTGAGCGTATTTCAGCGTCGTGTCATTCTGTAAATTTTGTCTCGATTGGAAAATCTTATAGGAAATGTTATGCCAGAAGTCGTGCTGCGTTCCCGGTCCTCCCGAGTTGTTTGCGTGTAAGGACATTGGACAGATGTGAACTGAATGACATCGTTTTTATTTGTTTCACTTTGCGTCAGTACACATTGTTCAGCTCGCGCCGTCTCCTCGCTCGTCTGCGGGCGACGAATGGCCCGTTAGCTGGGGCCTTGACGATGTAAAAAGGTTATGGGAAGGTCTGAATCGCCCGTGTTCTCCTGAACCTTTTCATGCTGCCTCAGCCTCTTTATATGCCTGACAAAGGCCCTTGTTTAATTGCCGATCTAAAGTTCAGGGCAAAAAAACAGCCCCTTCGAACTGCTCGTACCCTCAGTGTTGTGACATTTCCCCCAGGTATTCAGCTGAGAAGTTTCATAGGCGAGACTGAGAGGTGCTGCATTTGAGTTTTTGTGTTTTTGTAGTCCCACTTTAGGCCTTGCTGGTACGACTTCGGTCTTTGCTGTGCTGTGCTGGCCATCTGTGGCAAGGAGACCCAGAGGAGAGACGCGTTGGTTTGTGTTCGGTTGGGTGGGTGAACAGGCTGTCTTGGCGTGTGGCACCTGGCAGATGGGCACCTGGGTAGTACTGGGTAGGTAGCGCTCCCCGAGTGCGTTATGTCGCGCGCTGAAGCCGGCAGCCCTTGGAGCAAAGAGGGGGAGCAGGTGTTTGACAGTATGGACTTTGGAGGTGGTGTGCACTGGTCTTCACTCCTCCTTGTGAGCTGGCACGGGTGATGGACTTTGAGAAGACGACCAATGATGGGATTAATTGCCTGTTCCAGATTGGGTGAAAAAGGGTGGAAGGGGTGGGGCAGGCAGGCGAAAGCTTCCAGGACCAAGTATGTGCTCTTCTGAACTGATGAAGACTCACTGAATGTTGCACTTTCTTACTCATTTGGTAATTGATTTAGTGCGGTACCTCTCAACCCGGTCCTTGGCGATCCCCAGATGGTCCACGTTTTTGCTCCTTCCCAGCTCTCTGCCAGACAGTCCACTCTTTTTTTTTTTTGTTCCCTCCCAGTTCCTAGTAGGTTATTAAGGCGTTAGAACGATAATGGTTAGGTTGTCGTTGGTTGCTGCTCAAGAATTTGTTTTTAAGTCCATTGCTAACTAGATAGACTTTAATATAGACCAGGATAATACTGTACATGAACAGAATCTTTTGGAGCAGGGGAACTAATTTTGTAGTACCGTAAAGTTTCATGCATGTTGCTGTATTCATGACAGATTTGTGGGCCAATTCCCTGAAATGAGCTCAGAAGTCTGAGATTTTTCTGAGGTGTGGTATAATAGTAAGCACTGATTATATAGCATTTATTACAGTACATTTATAGACTCTGAAATACAATGAGTACAACGAGTACTCTTTGTACAATGAGCTTGAACTCCCTGACCCGGTTGATAGTTACTGAACACTGTGAGAAAATACAAATGGTGACATGCTGCCATCTGGTGGCAGTGGTGCAAATTACGGCGAGATGCCCATTAAGGGACTTTTCCAGCCGTCAATGGCAGATGGTGGCATGTGTCCTCTCTCTGCCCAGGTGCTGCGAGAGAACGGGTCGTCGGAGATCCTCAACAAGCTGTACGACACCGCCATGGACAAACTGGAAGGGATGAAGAAAGACTACGATGCACTACGCAAACGGTACAACGAGAAGACGGCCAACCACAACACGGACCTGAGCCGGCTGGAGAAGGCGGAGGAGGAGAACCGGCGGCTGCAGAAGCAGATGGAGATCCTGATGAAGCAGAGGGACTCCGCCATCCACTTCCAGCAGCAATACTCGTCCTCCCTAAGAAGGCAAGCCTGGGCTTCACATGTACATGATCAGCTGACATATACCGTCCACTGACTGCTGTCTTCTATACCCGTTTTTCATCCATCCATCTATTATCTTCCGCTTATCCCAGACCTCCCTCTCCCCAGCCACCTCCTCCAGTTCCACCGGTGGGGGATGCGAAGGTGCTTCCAAGGGGCTTTTGTTTTGTATTATTAGGGCTAGACTAGTCATCTGGCTAGACTAGTCATCACCCCCCCCAGCTCTGCAGAATTTACAGTAGGGCACCCCAAAGTTCAAAGTATTAACAATTTTAAATGAAAACGAATAACGAAACAAAATTACCGACCATGAGCAAGGTTACATCGATTAGAGGTTCTGAATGTCGGTTCTGATTTAATTTTCAATTAATTGTCCAGCGCATCATTTCATAGAACAAAGTAAAAACAAAACTTCAAGCAATTATTCATATATTACTATTGTATCTTGTAGCTTCTGCACGTTGAAATTTTGCAGCATCGCGGATTGTTCTTAGAGCCATCTTTGCGAACCGCCTAATGCATGTATGTTTAGAGCCAGGCTTTTCACATCTGGACCTTGATTCCAAATCCAGGCCTTGTTTTCAGTTCTCCCACACAATTTAACAATTACTGATTCTGATTGGCCACAGAGGCTTCACACCTGGCTCACCAGGTACAGGGAGGCTGAAAAATCAGCAGGGCTCAGACCTTGAGGACCGTGATTTGAGTGACTGTGATTTAGAGTAAACCGCTATGGTGTCTACCTGGATTGTTTTTTTTATTTTTTTTTTAAAAGGTGTCTCTTATTCTTCCCGCTATGGTCAGGTTCGACTCAATCCAGCAGGAACTGAACAAGACAGCGGCTCAGAACAAGGAACTGCAGCGGGAGGTGGACCGCTGGCAGTCGGAGGCCACGCGCTACAAGACGCTGCAGCTGAAGGCGCTGAAGGACTTGGAGAAGTACAAGGAGGAGCGCGACTCGGTGTTCAACGAGTACCGCCTGATCATGAGCGAGAGGGACCAGGTCATCAAGGAGGTGGACAAGCTGCAGTCCGGCCTGGAGGTGGCGGAGGCCAAGCTGAAGAACACCTCATCTGAGAGGAAGGTGGCCAGCGAGGAGATGGAAGCTCTGCGCCAAGTGAGCGTTCGGAATCTAACAAGAAAAGTGGATAAATCATGAACTGTAAATTCGACCCTGCGTCGTGTGGGCTTTCTTAGCAGTCAGTGTGGCTGACCGCGATCTGTCTTTGGGTGTGGTTTAGGAGCTCAGCTCGGCGCTGGTGGATCGAGATCGGGCCATCTGCGAGAGGAACGAGCTACTGGAGAAGTACTGCCATGAAGTTAAGGACAAGGCCGAGGCCCAGAAGGAGCTGAACCAGGCCTGCAAGGACATCGAGACGGTCAAGGAGGAGAGAGACGTGGCTCGGAAGGAGAGGACGGAGGCCATCATCCAGAGAGACCAGTTGTTGCGGGAGTACTACCAGGCCAGACAGGTCAGCCTGTGTCCACTGCGTGTTCGGCCTCTCGATCGCTATGATGCATGGTTTATTTGCCTATACTGTTACACAGTTCCTTCTGTATATTCACCAGGAAATTTTACATTCAGTTCCTGATTAAAACAGGCTTGCAGTTGTAACATTTTCCCTCCTCATCTGTCCTCATGCTTAAGGACCGGCAATTATAGTCAGAGTTCCCCTATTCGGCTGTTATCTTTGGAAGAGGGATGCGTTTGTTCCTTCCAGTCTCTCTGGTGTCCTCCTGCCTGATGTGCTGAAAATGTGGCCCTTCGGCTAAAACTTTCAGTGGTTGTTACCAAGGACCAGTTGCCACATAGACTTTGTCGTCCTTTTATTGCTTTATTAGTCGGACAGATTTGCCGCTTTGCGCTTTTGGAAGATCTGGACCTCAGGATGATGCTTACTGTGTGAATGGGGGCCCTGCGTGACTCGGCGGGTTAGGATGCTATGTCTGATGGGAAGGTCGCTGGTTCAAATCCCAGGGTCGGCAGAGTGATGTCACCGTTGGACCCTTGAGCGAGGCCTTTAACCCTCAGTTGCTCCAGGGATTGTCTGACCCTGCTTTCTCAAAAAATGTGCATCGCTTTGGTTGAAAGCATCTGCTAAATAAGTAAAATGTAATATAAAAGTGCTACACAAGCAAGTCGCCTTAGTGGTGGTGTAAAATGAAGGGAGGCCTTCCTCTTTGTGGGGAGTGTTTCGTTTGACAAGCTCAAATGCAGAGCTGTACGTTTGTTTATTAGTTTAGCTGATATTTATTTTTCATTGCAGTTCGGTATTGTACTAGAGGTATTTAAGTGTCTTGCCTAAGGGAACCGCGGCAGGGACTTCTGGGAACGTAACCTTTAAGTTATGGCATATTCTTCTGGTTCAAGGGACTTAGCGTTTACACTAGTCACACAGAAAGTGTTTGTCACTTAAATTGTTTTTGAACTTCTGCAAATTTACATACTTTTTGGAGACCATTGACTTATCTGCATTTTATTCCGCTTATCCCATTTAAATTGCGGAGTGTCCCAGCTTGTTGTTGGATTATCCACCTCTCCCCATCTGTCTGCCTGGCATATCCCCCTGCCAGGGAAGGATCAGAGGGGAACAGCTGGCAGGTTGGCAGCAGTCATCCAGAATGCACCAGGATGGTTCTCTTTAGATCTCTGAAAGCGCACGTAGTACCTTCCCCTTGAGGAGAACATTTCATCTCCTAGTAAAAGTTCAAGGAAACTCTCACATTACATGCACTTCCTGCTGTCTCCTCAAACATCGAGTTCCATATTAAATATAACTGTAAGCTTGCTAGATTTCTCTGACGAATGTTTTTTAAGGTGTATGTTCTGAATCACAATGTCTACCTTAAATATTTTTATGCGTTCATTCTTGAAATCAGGGTGACCTCTCAAAGATGCCATTAAACCTGTGTCGACTGGGGAAAATGCGGGTTTGCTGGAAGGTGGCAGTGAATCGAGCCGGCTGTAAAACTGATTTGTTTTTATGCTTGGAAAACCCAGAAGCAAGATTCTGCCACTCTGGACATGGAGCGAGCCAACAAAGAGATCGAGATGCTGAGGAAGCAGTACGAGGCCATGTCCCAGGAGCTGAAGGAGGCCATGCAGGAGGCCGAGGTCGCCAAGTGCAGGAGGGACTGGGCCTTCCAGGAGAGGGACAAGATCGTGGCCGAGAGGGAGAGCATACGGTAACGTGTGGCAGTCGACGGACGTGAGAGTTGGCTGTGGACAGGGAATGCTGGGAAAGAGGCAGGCAGGTGGCTGGGGGTCTCAAGGTGTGCGTGTGTTTGTGTGCGCGTTGGCCTTCAGGACTCTGTGCGATAATCTCCGGAGAGAAAGGGACAGAGCAGTGAGTGACCTGGCTGAAGCTCTACGTAACCTTGACGACATGAGGAAGCAGAAGCACGACGCCTTGCGGGAGCTGAAGGAGTTGAAGTAGGAGCTTTTTATTTGTTCTAATTTTTTTTATTGGCTTGCATTTTCAGCCACAGCCGTAACGCTAATGATGGCAAAGTTCACTGGTATTCTGGATTGATGAGCACGCTGAATCAAAGCTGTTTATCGCCACCTGGTGGCCGGGTGGTGTATAACACCTCCCCATCCAGCATCATAACCTACCACCAAGCCTCTCATTCAGAACTCAGTTTTAGAACAACAACTAGCAAATCAATGCTTCTCGTTGCCTGATAAGAATCTTGGCCCCAATTTGCTGTCGTGTCAAGCGGAAATGCCAAAAGGAAGTGCCTGTTGTTCCACAGAGAGAAGATGGAAAACCAGTTGGAGAAGGAGGCTCGGTTTCGTCAGTTGATGGCGCACAACTCTCACGACTCAGCCATTGACACTGATTCCTTAGAGTGGGAGACGGAAGTGGTGGAGTTTGAGAAAGACCGGGTATGCTCAGTTCCAGTTCTCCCGCACATGGGCTGAGAGAATTAGCTTAGCTCTTTTGGACCGTCGAAACTGTGCGGCATGTCACTGAAAGGACTGTGTGTTTATGTTAATTTAACAGGAGGACATGGACTTGAAGGCACTCGGGTTTGATGTGGCTGAGGGGGTAAATGATCCTTATTTGCCAGGAGACTGTGGAATATTTGTCACAAAGGTGGACAAAGGAAGTATTGCAGATGGAAGGTTAAGGTGAGGCTAGACGGCCGACCTTTTCAATATAGCGGCGAATCCCTCAGCTGATGTTGCTCGTTAACCTAATAAGGACCTTTTTTATTCTGGACTGCAGAGTGAACGATTGGTTATTGAAGATTAATGATGTGGACCTCACTAACAAGGACAGGAAGCAGGTCATCAAAGCCGTGCTCAATGGAGGAGGGGTCATCAACATGGTGGTTCGCCGGAGAAAATCGTTAGGTGGCAGAATTATAACTCCGATACATTTAAATCTTGCAGGGCATAAAGGTAAGTGCTGTCTTTGTGCCCCTCTGTGTGCAGAGCTGAAGTTGGGTCTTACTGGCCGTTCGCAGCAGGAGAATGTGACGCTGTTATTTGGGTGCCTAACCAGCTGCTTTAGAGTGCTCAGTCAGTCCAGTTTGACGGGATATTTGGACATCCGAAGGAGAAAAATATGAATATTACTGGAAAAAAAAAATGCCAAAGTATTTGAATCATATATGCTACTAAATCATTGTATTGTGTCCTGCAAAAGATTCAGTTTAATTTCCCTTTCTGAATGGTGCATAGCAGTCATTTTTTAGTTGTGCAAACAGGCTGCTGGTTTTTATTTCCTGTTGCATGAAGGTTGCATCAAGATATTTTAAACTGTGTGCTCTTGTATGCCCTCCCCCACAGACAGCGGCATCAGCTTGGAAAGCGGGGTGTTTGTGACGGCTATAGTGCCAGGGAGTCCCGCTGCGAGGGACGGAGCACTTACCGTCGGCGATAGACTCATCGCTGTGAGTGTCCCTTACCGGATTAGCGTCCGGCCCCTGTTAGGCCTGGTATTTCACAGCCTCTGTGCAGTGTCTAATGTGCAAGCCGGACTCCCACGTTCGTTAAACCGTGTGCCAAACCTGCAGCAGTAATCTGACTTCTGCAGAAGTGGGCGTGAGTTTTGTCTGTAGTACGGCTGCGTGACATCACATTGCGATTTAATCGCGGTTCTATGGCGCATGCACAGTAATCACCAGGGCTTTAGACAAGGGGTGAAACATTTGTCCAGACGCTGGCTTTTCCATACTATATGTATGTTTATTTATGCCCACAATTTAAGCAGATTAGAAGTGTGCCTAAAATATTAATGAGGCGTATTGTGATGCCCAAAAGTTAACATGTATAAATTTGCTGTATCTTTGTTTAATAAACGTGTTGGACTTGAAACTGAAAAGTACTGCCCCACCGCCGATGTCTTTTTACCTTGTTTATCTGCAGTCTCTCCTTTTAAGATCTTGTGAGCTGTTCGTTTCTTCACCGCCACTTCAGTGCTTAGTAACCAAATTTCATAAACAAAAAGATTAATTTATACAGATTAAAAACATTTTGGTGTCACAATATGCATCTCATTTTTTTTTTTGCCGTACTACTAATCTGCTTACCAAACTGTGGGTGTAAATAAACATCAGCATGACTGAAAATCCGGCATCCACACAAATGTTTCACCCGTTTTCTAAAGTCCTGGTGGTTTCTGTGCATACGCCATAGAATCGCGAATAATTCACGAATCGCAATGTGATATATCGTGCAGCCATAGTCTATAGTCAGTGTTTCAGCAAAACAATTTCAGTGTGGCTGAACAATGGACACAGTATAATTTTATAACCACGCTTAATGCATGCCGTATTATCACAGTTTGTGCTGCTTCTGTTCCCATCATCGCGCAGTGTAGTTTGACATGCCCGTGTTTCATAATTCATTTCAAGCGTGCTTTGCCTGGTAGTGGGGGAATTCTGGGAGCTCATCAAGCTTTGATCATCTGAAGTGCTGACCTGATTTATTTTTTTTTTCTCCCCCAGATAAATGGAATTGCACTAGATAATAAATCACTGACTGAATGTGAAGCTCTGGTACGGAACTGCAGGGAATCTCTAAGTCTCTCCCTGATGAAGGTGAATTCTGCTTATGCTTTTCATGTGCCGTTATTCCCATTAGCAAATGTTGGCCAGTTGAGGATTAATGAAGGCTAATTTGATAGTCAGATATTTGGTTACCGATATTTTAATAAATTTGTTTGAAAATGCTGAGATCACTCCTTTTTTTGTTTCATAGTTCTTTCCACAGAGTTGCTCCGGACAGAACATCTTCGAGAACCTAAGAGAGTCAGAGAAATCGTCAAACTGTAGGTTCCACTCTTCCGACTTGCACGTACGCAACTACAAGAACTTGAAACACAACAGCTCGACCCAGACGGACATCTTCAACCCGAGCAGCGCGGAGGGGAAGAAGGAACCTGCCGAGCCGGAGGAGGCGCCGTTCTGCCACCACAAACCCTTCTCCATGGGCTCCCTGCACGTGCACTCCCCCCGGCCTGGCGAGGAGCATGCCGCGAGCTCCTTCACCGGCGACGCCTTCCAGGAGCGCTGCTATGGCCGCGTGGAGCCTGTCAAGGGCCAGTTCGCCTTCGAGTCCGAGTGCATGATGGCAGAGGCGGCGCTGGAGAAGGGACTCCAGAAGCACAGCGGAGGCACGTGGCCCAAAATGATGGCGGGGGGCGTGTCGGCGACGGAAAGCGCTCAACTCTCCATATTCAAGGTGCCAAAGCCGCGGAAGTCCATCTTCGATGCCGATACCTTCAAGCGGCCCGACACGCCGTCCAAGCTGGACTACCTGTCGTCGTCGCAGTTGCCACCACACTCCCCACAGCCCTCCAAGGAGGCGTCCTCCCCGGCCCCCCCAACTCCCCCCACGCGCAGCGACTCCTTCAAGTTCAAGCACAAGCCACAAACAAGCTCCGCGTCGGACTCCACGATCACCAAGGGCTCGCCTCCCAGCACCCCGTCCCCATCCCCCACGACCCTGACTGCGAAGCAAGAGGCCATGCTGGATGGGCGCGACAGGAACGGCAACCATTTCTTCTTGGAGGCCGGTGTGGACTGCAAGATCCTGCCTTCCAGGAAGTCATGTGACGACGACGTGGGCCGCCTGAGGGCGGAGGAGCAGGAAGTGAAGAGGCCCCGGCCGAAATCGGCCCCCGCGCTGCGGCGCAAGATGACTCCCCTGCAGTTTCCCATGCCAGCCTTTCAGGTAATGCCAGAGGTCCCCAGAAACCACGTCAAACTCCGCCCCGCTCTGAGCAGCGCTACTGCTGCTGGTTTCTCTGGCAGAACTCAATAAAATTTGCCAAGCTGGTTATGAATGTGCGCAAAAGTATGGGACAAATTGTGCATTTTCATGGATCAATATGGGACAATCCCCATGATAAATGTAATGGGAAGCAGCTCTCCTCTCAGTGACCAGTGGAATTACTATGGTCCCAGTATATATATATGGTCCCAGTTTCTTTTTCGAATCTTACTTGCTGGCAAGGCATCTTGGTTAATTGTGCAAGAAAACAACATCGCTGTAGTTCTGGGACCCGCCAAACCTTTAAGTAACTCAATTATTGTAGGGCAGGAAATCACTGGGAGGAAAAAAAAACACAGCTGCGTATTGGGTTGTCCAACTTCCTTGAGCTGCAGCTGGATGTCAGATTCTAATGTTCTGCGTATCTGCATGTTTGCAGGTTCAGAGTTACTCTAACGATGAACAGTCTCCAGAGCCCAACGACATGGGCCGATTCTCCCCCAAGCGCTCCCACCGGCACAGCACGGGCTTTGCCCCCCCCGGCTACAACGGAACCATCTCAGCACGTATGTCATGCTGGACACGCTGCTAGTTCTCTTTGTTGAATGTTCGCTTTATAAATTTAACGACTCCTTTCCCCTGGTGTTCTGACCACCTTGCTTTGTGTTAGTCTTTTAGGCTTTTTGTGGTCTTGAACGTACTGGAATGTGCATGGTTATTAAAGCAAATAGTAATGTATGCAATTTATCAAGGTTATTGCAGTGTTATCTATTACTTTCCACTGTTAGAAGCCTTATCAGTGGACAGAAATTGTGCATCTTAAGGCCTTTGCCTTCCTGGTGCTCCTCTATATATTGGACACATTTCTGGTGCTAGAATGTCTTCTCATTTTACACTGCCCGTGGTGCTCTTTCTGTTCACACACAGCTTTTATCTAGTTCACACTCTCGGGTCATGTGACCTCTTCACAAGGCCCTCTCCGTGTGATGTTTTCTTGTGTAACGAATAGTCATGTCGAATGTATCGCAGACATGCAAAGTCCATTCACAGCATGTGTGTTTTGAGTCTCGTCTTGTCTGCAAATGTTCACTCACAGCCTCAGTGGAAATAATTACCCAGAACCCCTTTGGTCACGTATCTGTTTTTAACTTCTACGATTAGTTTAGCCGTTGTTGTTGTTGTAAGCTAGGTATACATAACTACATTACATTAAATGCTCTACTTTTAATGACTAACATTTACAATTTCGAATCTTAAAGTAAAACCTCAGTTTGATGAGGGCGATTGTTCTGAACTGGATGAGACAGTGTTGGTGCCGTCCTCTTCGGGATCTGAAGCGGTCTCTGTCTGGTCTGGGTGTTAAACCTCTGCCCTTCCGTTTTATTTTGTCACAGACTCTGCACACCGAGGCTTGGCTCCGTGCCCTGCGGTAACGGCTGTAATGAGAAATCCAATTTACACAGCCTGGAGTCACCGGGTTCACACTAATAACTGCTCTGTCCCCAGCCAAATCTGCCATCCGCATTCACACCCCAGGTACCCATGGAGACACAACCTCTGGCTGAGCCAATGTTCCCGCTCCACATCTCTCCGAGCGTGACAAATGTAGCATTTCTTTTCTTTACAATTGGTCAGATCTCATAGCTTGTCTCTCTGTTCTTGTTACTGTGAAAGCATATGCTGCTTTTTCCACTTCCCTTTTGTCATAATTCTGTGTTTTCCCTTCATAAGAACCATATAAAGTCTTTTCAGTGTTTCGGTTACTGAAGGGCAGTCAGAGTTGGTGTAAGTAATGCAGGGGAAGAACTTGCTTTATAAGCCCTCTAAGTGTCCTGGAACGCCCACTCTCTCTGTCCCCACTGAACATCTGAGGCTAAGAACGTAGATCTGCCATGAAGTCAAATCTCCACAGATGCTCGATGCTCGGGGGAGAATAGAACAGTTTGAGCCGTGGATCTCTCTTTCTTTTGGAACGCAGCCCCCAGCACCAAGGGCGTCTGAGCTTGGACTTGAGTCACAAGCGCTCCAGTGACTTCACGGAACCGGCTCGCAGTCGGACGCCTCATGGAACCAACTCCCTGCCCTCGAGCGCTCGACTGGGTGAGGGATGCGGCCGCTGGCCTCCATTCAGTCCCTCCCACATGCAGTAGGGAAACCACTACTGTTAGACTGCTTCTGTCGGGCGTAAAATGACCTTGTCTTTCTGGTCATGGGTGCTTAAAGCGATACTGTTCGAAAATCTGAGTTTTGCCTCTTTCTAGGTTCATCGAGTAATCTCCAGTATAGAACAGAGCGAATTAAAATCCCATCCACGCCACGGTACCCTCGGTCCATGCTGAGTTCCGACAGAGGTATGCTTTCTGGTGCCAAATTGCTCTTGGCCATCCCCCAATCCTTGCATATTTAGAAGTCCAGAGACTTTTTATAAAACCTATCATCATTTTAAAATTTGGGGTTGAGATAATTTGTGGTTTCGGTTCTGTGACTTAAGAATAATAAGTAACAGTCGGAGAACCGCAGCCCCTGATTCTTGTGGACAGTCATGCGCTGTGGGGCTCCTGGGCTGCTCCCTTGTGATTGGCTGACCCTTGCCTGGCAGGCTCGCTGTCTCACTCGGAGTGCAGTAGCCCCAGCCTCATCACCCCTCCTCAGTCCCCCCTCAACCTGGAGACCACCTCCTTCGCCAGCAGCCAATCGCAGAGCTCCATCTCCACGCTGCCCAGAATATCCATCAGCCCCGTTCCCATGGGAGATCGTAGGAAGGACAGGTGAGCGTGCTAGTTGCTCTCTCTGCGCCTGCTTTTCCAGTTTAGTGGTCTACATTCAGTGCTTCATTAATAACTCGTTTTTATTTGTTTTTAAACCTGTAATTTAGCAGTGAAGAAGACACTTGTCCTGGTTGGAGGAACCCTCACTTCTTGCTCTAGTTTGTGCAATATTTTAGAACAGTGCTGCTCAACCCAGTCTGCATTTTTTGTTCCCTTCAAGCTCCCAACACCCCTGTACCAGGTATTCAGTCATCTTGATTGGTTGATGCAGGCTTGCTGGGAGCTGGAAAGGAGCAAAAATGTGGACTGTATGGGGGGTCCTGCAGGACTGCATTGAGAAACACTGGTTTGAAGAAAAGTTTTGGCTAATCCTTCAAATATGAAGAATCTGACACGATCCAGTGATGTTTCAGTTCTAACTCTTGTGCATCTCTTGTTCTTATAAACCTCACTGCGAATTCTGTCTGGACTGCTTACTTTTGTCCTCCCACAGTTCCGCATTTTTGAACGTGTTACTTTTAAGCTTCTGTGTGATCTTTCTCTCCTTCATTTATCCATCTCTTTCCTTCACTTTTTACTTTTCTGAATCTTACAGATATCTGTTCCGTAACAGATCCTTTCTAAGAATCCCTGTGGCTTCTAGGCCAAGGTTCTCATCACTGAGAAGCCTGAGGTGTGTGTCTCTGCCAGTTAAGGGAAGGGGATGTCCCAAAGTGTTCACGGGTGAAAAGCTCGCTCACTCAAGATCAAGCATGCTGATCACACATGCTGCAGCACTGTAAAGTGCTTCACTAGTTACTGGTTACTTACAGGATATGTAAGTGACCCCTAAAGTGTGGGTGAAAAAAGCTCATGAAATGTGTCAGTTGGATCAAAGTATAATTGAAGTTTTTCTTTAGTAAATTTGTTGGGATTAAGGGGGCGGGGGGGGGGTCATTAGCGTTGTTGCAGTGTTGAGTTTTGTTTATAGCTGCAAAGTGGGACACGCCTCTCTCTTATACTGAACACTCCTTTTACTTTTTAAAAATCAAACTGCGTTCATGTTTTGAAAATGGAGGAAATTCCATTTGGGGAAATGGCAGTTGAAATCCATGCCAGGGTGCATCCTGAGGCTCTGTACAGACCACATCGCAGTTTGCCACGGGATGTTACTGTACTTGTTGCTTATGCTGGAGATTGCATGCCTGGTCTCTGCATCCCCCTTTCAAGTGGGTTTATTACCTTGCATGATATCTACATCAGTGTTTTCCAGCCCGGTCCTCAAGGAGCTTCAGACGGTCCACATTTTTTTGCTCCTTACTGGGAGCTGGGAGGGAGTAGAACCATAGACCGCTGGGGGTCCCTGAGGACCGGCTCGGGAAACACGGATCTACCTGACTTGTGAAATTTCCACCATTAAGATAGATGTTCAGAGTACCTTTTATATCAGAGATGTTTCCTAAATCCTGGTATATGGTCGATCTTGTGTGTTGTCACCCTCCCTTCCCTTCGCTGCACTTTTCACTTTTTGTGTTTATTACCTTGTGGTGTGAGGATGCTGTCTTTAACATTAAATCCATCTGCTCAAAGTTCTTGCAGAAAAAACACAGACCGCATGAAGATCCTCTTCCAGTGTATGTCTGTTCCACGGTGGAATGTGTGTGTGTTCGTGTGTGTGCGTGTGTCTGACCCACCTGTGTTCTCTCTCTGCTTCTGTTCATTAAGGCCTTATCTGGAAGAGCCACGCAACGTCATCGTGCACAAGGGCGCAGAGCCCCTCGGCATCTCCATCGTCAGCGGAGAGAACGGCGGCATCTTCGTTTCCAAGGTGACGGGGGGCAGCATCGCTCACCAAGCTGGGCTGGAGTACGGGGACCAGCTGCTGGAGGTATTTCCGTCGTCCGGATCCTTTCTCAGTTGGCGGTAAAGCCTGGTGTCGCCCTGCCTGACTGGCCGTGTCCGGTTACAGTTCAATGGCATTAACCTGCGCAACGCCACGGAGCAGCAGGCCCGGCTGATCATCGGGCAGCAGTGCGACACCATCACCATCCTGGCCCAGTACAACCCCCACATGTACCAGCTCGGCAACCACTCGCGGTCCAGGTGACTCCACCTGCATCCTGTGGGAATTTCCCTGAAATGCATTAACGTGCCTCATTCGGTCCGATCCGTAGAGCGGTTCTCAGGGAAGCGCTCGTGTGCGCTTCAAACCAGCGGGCTGTCGACATCCTGGGGTGTTCGTGTTGTCCCACTCCAGCTCCCGGATGGAGCCGATGAGCAATCAGTCGACCCCCCAGGGAAGTGGTGCCACGACCCCAGACAATCACTCCACCATCGACACCCTGAGCGAGCAGGATGAAGGCACCATGACTCCCCCCTCCAAGCAGACCACGCCCACCATTAGCCCCCGCAGCTCAGTCAGGTGCGGCACTCGGTTACTGCCAAATACAATCTCCTTTATTAAACAAAATGTAAGATAAAATGGGCAGAATAAAAAGCTGCAATCTTTGCAACGTCTGTAGCAATTTAGAGGTCGTGAATTACATATATATGGCATGCTACCTCTTATGGGGCTTTTTATGCATTTTCTGGTGGTCAGAAGATTTTTTTTAAGAAAGGTTTAATGCCTAAAGTGGCTTTAAATGGGACCCGTTTGGTTCCACTCCTCTTCTGCCTTTTTGGTGTGTGGCCGCATCACAGGATGTCTGCAGAGGCTTCCAGGAAGATCCCCGAGCCGAGGATGGTGACGTTGAGGAAGACCCAGGGGGAGCTGGGCGTCCAGATCTGTGGCGGAAACCAGCGTGGGATCTTTGTAGAGAAGCTGGAGGATAGCAGCCCTGCCAAAGATGCTGATGTCCTTTTGCCAGGAGACGTGATACTAGAGGTTAGAGGGAAGCCCTGGTCCATCCTGGGAAGACCCTGCAATTAGTGCCTCTTCTAAAAGCTTTAAATTTCGATTTATTGTACTATAGATATCTGGGCCATTTTTTGGGAGTACAGAAAACTCTGAAATTAGCTGAGTAGCTTTACCTGTTTTATCAATGCTAAATGATCACCAAAGCCAGGACATCTTGTATATCATATGTTTCATTCCCCTTCAGTGGAAATTGGTTTTGACAAACCTTGTTTTTTCCTCCTCTCTTGCAGTACAATTCAGTTAGCATGAAAAATAAAACTGCCGAAGAAGCGTACCTTGAAATGTTAAAACCTGCAGAGACTGTCATGTTGAAAGTTCAGCACCGTATCGATGAGTTTAAAATGTTTAAAGACACTCCAGGAGATGCATTCTATATAAGGTACGTGAGCTACAAGACAGACTCCTGATCATATGAGATTTAATAAATGCCACGTCTCTCTTTGTTCTGCGTTGTCGTCTTGTACGTAGCATCATTAATGCGTGGTGTTGGATATTTGTGTGTATTTACGCATGTTACGTTTTTGTTTACCTTTGTGAAACCACAGAATGTGAATTTGGATTATAGTTAGGGCATCAGGAATGTTTTGAACTGGTTTGTTTTGTAGTCGGGTGTGTGGTGTTGAATTTGGTGTACAGTTGGGATTGACTTCAGACTTGGGAAAGGAGAAAATTAATTTAATTCTGAATTTCCTGCAACTTGGAGGAAATCCGGATTCCATGAATCATGACAGTGGCCCCAGGAGCTGTTAAAGCAAGAGAAATGTAGGCATGCAGTTCTTTTTGAAATACCCTTCATACTCCTGTCTCCCAGCAAATGTTTGTGTGCCAAAAAGCTGTTTATTGGCTTGACATAACATGACACTGGATTCCAGTTGTAATCTTAGTGCAGTTTAGCGAATCTGATATCCTTTCGTTTATTACCGATGGAGGTTCCTTTCTGCAACTCTTCCGTAAGCCGTTTTTTCTTGGAGTTGATCTTGAATGATAGGGGCAAGAAACTTGAAATATCACCCACGGTGATCCTGAATTTTTTATCGACGCAACGCAGAGAAATACTGTCAGCTAGCATACAAATGTTAGCTGTGAGTTCACGTGCTAAGAATGAAGTGATTTTTATTTTTTTTTATGTAATATTTTGAGTAGTTTTGAGGACACAGCTTTTAATATAGTAACGCTTTGTTGTAAAATTGCTGCTGTAATTTTGCTATCCCGTAGCATTTAGGATTTCAATGCGCTTGACTGGTTCTTTTATGATTTTCTGGACTTCCTCTATGAACATGAGTGCCGTTGGTCACTTTTCTGATGCAATTCGCTGTAAATATACAAGGGCAAACGTCTTTGGCATACCGTCATGCTGACAGTAGCTATCGGCGGTAGTGTTTTTGATCTATGGCGGGGGTGCGTTTGCTGATCTGTCCCCTGTCCCTTTACAGAGCACTTTATGACAAGGCTGCTGAGATGGAGCAGGAGCTTAGTTTTAAGAAAGATGACATTTTATTTGTTGAAGACACTCTACCAAAGGGCAATTTCGGCTGCTGGATGGCTTGGCAACTTGACGAGAATGCTCAAAAGCTGGAAAGGGGACAAATTCCCAGTAAATACATGTGAGTGATGTCGCATTCTGTATAGATACTCTTGGTCAATGGAAAATCGACAATGTCTTCCATTAAGGGTGTACATTATCCTATGTCAATACTGAAATTATTTTTAACTGTATATTGTGACAGCACAATGAAATGACATTTCACAGAAATTTATGCAGTCGCTTCTCTTATTACCTGCAGGATGGACCAGGAGTTCTACCGGAGATACAGCGTGTCTGAGATGAAAGACGAGAACGGCTCCAGCAAAACATTATCAGCCGCCGCCCGCAGGTCGTTCTTCCGCAGGAAAAATAAACACAAACGCAGTGGGTCAAAGGACGGCAAGGATTTGCTGGCCCTTGACGCCATAAGCACAGATTCAATTCCCTTCATGGAAGGTGAGCTGCTTGGTCCCTCATTTCTTTTAATAGACGTGAGACATCTGGCCTGAGTTGAGTGGTCATTAACAGCTGTGCTCTGCTGTTGACAGACTGTGTCAGCTTGGCCTATCAGAGGGTGCAGAAAGTGGAGTGTGCTTCTCCACGACCCGTGCTCATTCTGGGGCCTTTAGTGGATGCTGTCAAGGACATGCTGGTCAAAGAATCTCCTGGGAAGTTCTGCAGATGTGTGCTTGGTTAGTAATTTAGCCCGCTTTCTCCTATTATTATTATTGTTGTTGTTGTTGTTGTTGTTGATGTGATTCAACCAGGTATAGCTTTTGCCATCTGTGTGGTCATTTTTATGTGTCATGTTAAGGGGGTGCCTGCTGAAAATTTTGATTGAGGTGGCTGTTAGGAGCCATTTATATTTCTGGGGGTAGCTGTGACGCATTTTGTCTTCCATGGTTCTGCTTAGAAAATAATGCATATTTTGTGTCTTGTTTTGATTTGCGGTGGTAACCGTATCTGTATGTCACTCCTTAGATCTGCCCCTACTCTTAGTCCCTTTACTCCCTACTCTAACTTTCTTTAATCCTGTGATGCTTTTTAGAGGTGATGAAGGCTTCCCAGCAAGCAATCGAGCGTGGCGTGAAGGACTGCCTTTTTATTGATTACAAACGGAGAAGCGGCCATTTTGATGTGACGACAGTTGCGTCAATAATGGAAATAACAGAAAAGGTTTGTGCTGTCTTTTTAAAATCTTCAATTTCCTATTTCATGAAATGGTAAGTTTATTAAAAGAAGTGAAGTCGCTGGAATTACATTGTAGCTGAAACTAGCATTTTGGCTAAATTAGCATAATTTTGATGTGTATCTAAATTTATTTAAGTCACCTTGCAATTATGGCTCATACAATGCATTTTCATTGCTCATGTATATAATAATTGTTGTCATTTTCTTCGTAGGACTGTCACTGTTTGCTTGACATTGCACCTCACGCCATTGAAAGGCTTCACAGCGTTCACATTTACCCAATCGTCGTTTTCATTCGGTACAAAAACGCAAAACAGATAAAGTAAGCATCGGCGTTCCTACAAAGACCTTTTCCTGTAAAATGTCTTGTAAGGGGGATGTGAGCTTCTCATTGCATAGAGCTTGTTTTCCATTTAAAAAAAAAAAAAAAAAAAAAACTAGTGATCAAATCTGGTTTCTAAAATCTGGTGATTTTTAATTGTTTTTTATTTATAAACTTTTAGCAGGATTAGCTACCATTTTCTTTGACCCCGTCTATCCTCCCATTATCCACAGTACTTTGAAACTGTAAACAGTGTAGATTGGTGGCTCTTTCATGTAGTCTTTTACTCTGTCAAATGGGAGCAGTACGCTAGTGATGTTTCATTTTTAATTTATGAAATTGTAAAGGAGTGCTGCCTGCCAAGACTGTAACATTATCAAAGCACAAAAAGAATTACCGAGGGTTGTACTATATCCAGTTGGACGCTAAAATCAATCTTTCATGAAATGAAGCCATAGGGCATTTTATTTGTTCACTTAAATTGTGGGTCGGCGTTTTGAGATGGCTCTTGCATCAACCTATGCCGTTACAGTTAAATGCAGTGGGAAACACTGAAAGATGTACGTCGTCCTGAGAGCAAACACCTCAAGCAATGTAAACTGCCAGCACAGGATGTTCTGTTCTCTAGCATGGTAGATAGATTTACACCATCTAATCAAAAGCCTCTGTCTCTGAGGTGTTGGTGAATGGCTATTCGACCCACAGTCACAGTTCATGAGTCAGCTGTCTCAGGGACATTTGTGTTCTGGGGCGTCTGCAGTTTACACTGAATGGAGGACGTCACCTAGTGGCACAATACCAAGCCAGCTGGCTCATGCGAGGCATTGTGAACAAGATGCAGGACATTCAGTGAGCTAATCTTCTACCTGACCTTTACCTCGCTGATCAGCAGGAGCCTAATCTGCCTCAAGCCAGCACTTGAAGCAGTCAAGTGACTTTTTGAGAATTCCTTTGAATTGTCAGATTCATGTGATTATTGCAGGTGGTGTGTATGTCATAGTTTTTTACGTGCAAGAGATTTTTTTTGTACACGTCTGTTTTTCCTCTTACAGGGAGCAGAAGGATCCAGTGTTTCTGCGGGATAAAGTGTCTCAAAAACATTCCAAGGAGCAGTTTGAGGTTGCGCAGAAAATGGAGCAGGAGTACAGCAAGTTCTTCACAGGTTCGTCTTTTGTATTTTTCCATTTGCACTAGGTTTTAAAGGGGAATTCACACCTACGAAAAGCATGGATGAGTAGATGAATACTTCTAGAACACAGAGCAACACTTTAAACCCTTTTTAGGACGAACTCTGTATTGTATATTGAAGTAGAATACTGAAGGAAACTGAACATGAGTAAAATGTGACTGATTTTGATTTCAGGTATTGTCCAAGGTGGGAGCCTGTCCTACATTTGCACTCAGATCACGACTATTGTCGATCAGGAGCAGAATAAAGTCCTGTGGGTTCCAGACGGCTCGCCGTAGATGTGGTGAAAGCAACTGCTGAAGCGTGCAGCCTTTGCATCTGTTTAGAAAGAGAAAAAAACACACACATACACTAAAACCTTAACTACATGAAGGGGTACAATACACTGAACAATATTTAAATAGCAAATTGTTCACATTTGTCAGCATTTTATTATTGCAATCAATATAACCTGTAACACAGAGCTTAAGTTACACTTGTCTACAGGAGGAAGTTTATATATAGCACTGATTTTATTTTAAATTTTCTTTTTTGTCTGTTGTTTTTGTCATACTTAAACATCTGACTTAGTGATGCTGCATTTAAAACACTCGTTTACAAAAGAAGTATTTTTATGTAACGCTTACTTGAATGTGTAGCTTTCCCTTAGTCACTCTCCCAGTTCTGCTCTCTCCTGAACCCCCCCCCAATTCCTGCCAGTCCCCTCCCTACATGAAATTTCCTCAACGGGGTGGAGATGATGATACGTGCAACATGGAAGTGCCTTTTGAAAACCCATAGAGCATTCGACAGCAGGGTAATTGGGAAGATGCGAAACGTGCCGGGGCAGTCCTCTAGGGGGCGCACTGCACACTGTTTTAAATTGACCTTTTCTGTTCTCTCTAAGATCTTAATGCCTAACTAGGTAAGGCACCTAGTATACAGTAGCAAAGGGTAGTCCAGCTCTTAGCAGAGATTAGCACCACCCCCACCCCCGGCCATCTGCATTTGTTTGTTGCTTTTAATGTATCTATTTAAAAACATCCTTGTGCAATTTTGCATGATTCTTAAACCTTTTTTTTTAATTTTATTTTTTTTTTATTTTCTCCTTGTTTAATCTGTATTAGTGTTGTAGATGTTTTATTATTTAAGTGGGTTTTGTAATTCAAGTATGTGACACAGTAAATGTAGTGCGGCAGTTCATTCGGTCCTCAGTACTATGTCCCCCTTCTGTATGTCGTGCCAAACTCCTCCATATGTTCTGCTTTAGTTTTGCACTTGTAAGTCTGTGAACCCTTCCGAGTCGCATTTAGATATCCAATCATTTTTATCACGTTCTAGGTACTATAGTCGTACTGTACAAGCAAGTGTAATTTTGAGTATATCACGAGTTCCTAGCATTTCAGCATTTCCGCGGCATGAAATTGCCTTTCACACATACATCAACTGAAGAAAGTAGACTCCTCCTTATATGAAAAAGGGATGTTTTCTTGCACATTGTCCGTTTTAAGCATTTGGGTTAATTAGAAGTCCACAATTAGAAGTAACTTTAAGGTCAAACTTTGTGCTATATTTTTCACATACTTTTCTCATGTGAGGGATACATTTTGGTTTCTCTGTAGACCTGGGTGAAATACAACAAAAGACAGACAGGTACTGTTCTGATTGGGATTTTCTTTCTTAAAATATGATTTGTATCAAATGTTATGAAATTAATATGAGAATAAAAGTCTTTTTTTCTGTACCACTAAAATTTTGAAATTTAGGTGTTCCGTTAATCAGCACCATATGGCCAAGTCGCACCATATGTGTAAATGACGAGGCTGCTAATAGTTTTATGTATCTTTTTTTTTTTTTTTTTTTTGGCTTCTTAAACACATTTGCCTGAAAATTTGTATTGAGATTTTAAGCACTGGGCCACTTGTTAAAGTATGCATATTGTTCTTTAGGTTTATATACACAGGTTCTCAAAAATGAACTCATTTGGTATTTGATACTGTATCATAATGTTCTTTGTGTTTAATGACCTAAACAGGAGAATTTCTGTGTAATCGTGAGGAACATCTTTCAATGCAATTCCTTTGATTTGAAAGCCCCCCCCCCATTTATAGTAAGGGTGGTAACTGATAACTGATGGATGGGTTAGACAGGAGCGTCTCTTCTGCAGGTTCTGCCTGTTGGGGGTCACTCAAGTCCTGACATTTAACCTTGGATCTTGTGTTTTTTTTTTTTTTATAGACTGACATGCCCAGATTATATGTGGTTAAAAATAGTGGTTTTATTTTTATTTGCAGCTTTCTAATACCCTACATATATAACTTTAAAGTGTAAAATTTAAATGATATTGATATATGGAATACCAGTGTGGGAAGTCTCTGCATTGGACCACTGAGGCACTGAATCATCAGGGAAGAGCTTTGTCAGGAGACCACTAGTGGAGACGTGAGAAACTAGGCCTCAGGCTGGACTGTCTTTGGAGCAGTCTTGGAGCACGCTTTGGTCTCCTGCATCTGTGTGGGCGATCCTGGAACAGGGCCAGACGATGCCTATAACCAAAGAACTGGTATGTAATAACCTTCAAGAAAGTTAGTCTAGAATGTCAATACCACATTCCTCCATATATGACGTAGGGGCAGAGTTGTATCTGTCCCCAGAAGAGTGCTTGCTTTTTAAGAGACAAAGGATGCTATTTCACAACTCCTCCACATGAATAACAACACCGTAACACATCTGTCAGTGCTCCCTTAGCCAAGGCTTCCAGTGAAGGGGCATAAAACCTACCCTGTAAAAGCTTTTGGTGTAACAGGGGGGCCCTGTCTCCACTCCAGTTTGCTGTATGAAGATTTCCTTGCCGAACCTGTCCCATCATACTCTCCCAGACACTCGACAGATCTAAAGGGCACCAGCTTAGTGCAATTAGGAAATGTCTGCTTCGAAAGGTTAGCTTGCAGTGTTGACAGTGGACAGGAATAATGGGCCCCACACAGGCAACTCTTTTGACCTGAGATTAGTGATGTTTTATCATATCTGTGTGTGCAGGGGAAATTGTGGTTAAACACTTGTTCCATCCTTTTTATAGGTACAGTATGCTTTTACTGACAAAGGCATAATCACATAGGCCCACAACCTTTAATACCATGACAATGAAATATCTGTGCTGACTGATAATGTTTCTCAACTCCGTCCTCAGGAACTGACTTGACAGTCTACCTTTTTGCTCTCTCTCAGGTCACAGCACACCTGTACCAGGGATTAGATGCTCTTGATTGTGTTCTTGATGTTCAGGTGTGCTGGGAAGGAGCAAAAATGTGGACTGCCTGGTGGACCCCTGAGGACTGAGTTGAGAAACACTGCTCTGTTGCAGGGGTGGGGATCCATGGTGGGCCGGTGCGGGTTTTTGGAATGACCTCTCAATCGGCTAATAATTAAGCAGCAGTTCTCAACTGCAGTCCTGGGGGCCCAGTTATTGGCTGATTGAGGACCATCGCAAAGACTCACACCCATACCAACCCTCCATAGAACAGGTTCCCCACCCCTGTTATTGAGTGAGTTTTAAGGATAGCCTAACCATGGGGTGCTGGTATCCATCAGGTTTTCTGTCATACTTGAGGAGTTATCTGTCTAGACCAGGTGTGGTTCATCTAAGACCGGGTAGGATAGAAAACCTGCTGGATGCCAGCACTGCAGCATCAGAGCTGCCTACACTTGGCCTAACTTGTAATGCCCTTTGTCCACTAGGCACATCCTTGTTTGGATGATTAGTATTTTCAGGGAGACGAACCATTTGATGTGCATTTGTTAGAGGGAAGTTGGGAGCTTCCAGAGGCAATTAGTGTTTGCATTTGTAAACATCACCTTGGGAATGGAGATTGAGGGTCTGGTTGGAATAAGGAAATCGGCACTGGGTGGAAGAACCGAGGCAGCGAGGCTGTGTGGAGGTCTCCATGCCTAGTGCCATTAACAGGAGTGAGGAGAAACATCTCAACCCCCCTTCAGCCATAGAGGGTACATCACGCATGCCTTTGTCCTGTGCTCTCCACCCCTATAATCACTGTGCAGACAGTAGTGCAGTCACCAACCTCGAGGCAATTGACTGAATCTGTTAGCATAAAGTGCAGACAAGAAAGGACCTGGTGAATTGGGTGTCATACCTATACAATCAATTAAAACATTCGTATGCATCCCGGTATCAGTGTTTTGTCTGTGTATGTGTGTGTGTGTGTGTGTGTGTGTGGCATGTCTGTTGGTCACATACAACCTGATGTTGTGGTTCAGACCTGCATCTCCAAATTCCCCGTGAGTCACTTGCATCTTCTGGTGGCTCTGAACACTGTTGATGGTTGTGATGTGCAGTGAAATTAAAGGTGAGAAAAAGCTTATATACTTTAATTGCAACATTTTACACATTTTGGAAAAAGACTATTTTCTGTATGCTGGTTATTTTTATCAAATATAAACTGTAATAAATGTGTGTAGTTTTTTTAACAGAATCTCCATGTTTGCTGTGCTTCTCAAATGATTGACAATCGAGAACTGGTGTTTGCCTAAAGCATATATACACAATACACGTTCAACGGTCATTTTAAAACATGAACAAGCTGCCAGTTTAATCCCCCCTCAAATTTATATTAATCATAAGTATATACAGAGATGCCCTGTGAAACTGGGTACTGTAGTTCTTCTGTTGTACGTAGCCCTATTGGGACAATTCTCTTATAAGGGAGCAACTTATAATGGTGACTTATAAAATGCATTTTGTAAAATATCTGGCAGAAAAAAGTATAGAGGTATAGATAGAACTGTATGTTTTCGAGCACCATATAAATCCACTCTGCTGTTCACCCCATTTTCCTGAAATTAGAATGGGCTACTTAAAATGGCACAACTGGATTCATTGATGGCAGTTACGGTAATATTCAACTGGAAGATGGCATCTGCTAATGTAACATTTAAGTTGCGGAACATACTGAACGTATAAATGTGTAGTCAAATTTTATTTTATTTAATTTTTTACTCCTGCAGGCTGATGCCCCCCTCCCCTATGGAGCTCACCCCACTGTCCAAACCATACTGCCTTCTGTTCTACTGCACACAGCAGCTTTTGGGTGTCTGTCTGCTGTAATATACACAGAACCTTGATCTGTCAATAGAAGCCTGCCCCTCTCGCTCACGGCTCATTCGCAGATGGGTGTAATAAAGCCAATCTTGGATTGCAAACACAGTCACGATGACGATGAACTACTGTTGGCCTTTCGTCGTTTTCGTTTGGCTTCTGTAGGTGAGTTGGCACACCAGGCATGACGCAGTCTTGCATAGCTATGGGTGTGAAGGTGAATTATTAGCAATGGGAACAAGAAATAGCAAAGTCATTTCAGCCAGTCTAAGTCATAGACGTTGACTGTGACACATCAGGATTACACTAGGTGGAACTTAGTGGGGGGGTGATATTAAGGATAACACTGTACAAGCATGATGAGCCAGTCCTCAGATTATTAAGCTGATTTAATAACCATCAAGTTAATTACATTGTCCTGCAATCTATGACCTCAGTATGTTTTACCATGATGTCTGAGAATAATAGATTAGAAATGATTTCTCAAGAAAAGTTTTAAGGTAATTTAAAACTTTAAAATTGCATAGGTAATGTAAAGAGCAATACAACATTTTAATGCTCACTTGCTACAGCCTGCCGTCCCCTTACTTCTGGTTTTATATACAGACCCACTGTAGTTTTGCCCCAGACTCACCCTGGGATATCTTGGTCTTGGTCGCTACTGTACTATACAGGCAACTTGTGCTTCCCCTCCCCCCCCAGTAAAAATGACACAGCAGAGTAGCCTTGACATCCAATAACTACACTGCAGTCTTCACGATAAGTAGACCCAGCAAAACAAACCTTAAACAAGAAAATTATGAGAGGAAGTAGGAAATGAAAACAGAAACCAGAACATCATATGTTCCAGTCCTAATTGCTGCCAGAACCAAAGCAAACTACCTGCCACAAAACCTGCTACTGAATTTCTAATACCTGCAGACCTGGTAGTGCTTCATGTATCTTCATATCTCTGCAACTATCCTGATATAGAAAAAAGTATATATATATATATATATATATATATATATAATATGTGTATGTATATGTGTGTGTGTATATATATATATAGTGTCTGTTTTTAAGAAACATAAATATACAGCTCTGGAAAAAACAGACTAGAAAATCTGCATTTAAAAATTTTGGTTTAATCGTGGTTCCTGCTGCAGGCTGCTTCCATGTTCAAAATATCTAAGACAGCAGTACACAAGAACAAGGTGAAGCAGGAGACACTGGGAACGGCCAGAAACCAGCCAGGTAAAGGGCGGAAGCGACTTTCTAATGCCAGAGATGACCGTTAATCCGACAGTTAACCACGTATCGGAGGATGACATCAAGTGACCTTCAAAGGGAATGGGAAACATTAAGTGCAGGTGTGAAGTGCACTGCTAGGACATTTCATATCAGACTCCTAGAAGCAGGACTGAAATCCCATAAAGCAAGAAGACCTTCATTAATGAGAAACAGAGAAAAACCAGGCTGCAGTTTGCAAAAAAAATATATTATTCACAGACGTTCACCTTTAAGTTGAGAAATGAGTGAAACAAAAAACTTGTCCTATGGTCTCAGTTTTTCCCAGAGTTGTTTCTATGTGTGTGTGTGTGTGTGTATATATAAATAAAATGTATATACTGACACACTCGCACTACATACCACAGTGTTCATATTTATACACACAGAGACTGACTGTGACAGGTCACGCAGTGTCTCCGTATGCGGTATCCATGTCTTAAAGTATAAAGTGACACCTGTTAGCTTGTAGCTTTACTCTTCTCACATGACCTTATGAGTCGATGGGCAGTGAATGCTACAACATCAGATGTTCCACGGGTTTCCCCATGGTTCCTGCTGCCCCCAGCCTTTAACCTCTAGTGTGACTCACACACCTCATTTCCCTGAAGTGCCCCCCCCCCCCCGCGTGTGGAGGGTTCTGAGCTTCCAAGCCAAAAATGACTGTGTTTTGACTGAGATCTAAAAAGGCTGCTCTTTGATGCACATTGTTCAGTGTTTATCATCTCATTTTCTGTCTCGTGTCCTACATGGTTTCGCCTCCGGTTGTTTGACCTGCTTATTTTCTTTGATGGGTTGTAGCCTGATGTCCTGTCTTGTCCTGGCAGCTCCCCAGTCGGAAAAATCATCTTTATTAGACAGATGATGTAAATTAATGTGACAGAGTGTTCCACATACCTCAGGTGGTTGCACATCCACTAAAGGAAAAGTGCCCCATTGTATACTTTTCATCCCCCCCCCCGCAACAACAAGATCTTCTTCAACATGATTGGTTACCATATAGTGTGCCCTACCTTGGATTTCCTCCCTTCTCACGACCTCCAGTCTTGCTTATCACGTGCATATATTATGATTATATGATTGATTAATCACCTATTGTTCTGTGGTTACGCATTGTTTGTGCTGACCTTAAGTAACTCAAACTGTCACAAACAGGATGATAGCAGGATTCCCCCTCCCAGCTCCTCACGCACTGTTCACCGTTACGATAACCTTCCCTCATAATCCCCGGCTTTCCCTCAATCCGCTACCACACACGTCCCCTCTTCTCAATTATGACAATCCCCCAACTAGTGATAGGTCAGCGTGCTCCACAGTGTGTTCCCTCTGCCACGCTTCCTCTCACGAGTCCACAAGAACAACACCACACTGGCCCGAAGCCACAAAATGAAAGGACATCTTGTTGCCTGAGGCCTAAGCTGAGCCACAATCCCATAATGCAACCCCATCAATGCAACAAAACATCGACCCCGTAATTCCCCCTACCCAATTACCATGTAATGTTTCTTCCACATTCCCCACGTCCCTCCCCAGATTGCCCCCCTCCGCCTCGGGGCAATCACGTCCATCGATGAATTCATACCAAGAGGAGGGGGATCGCTGGTCCGCCGTCACACCATTGATCTCATCGATGGCGACCTGGAGATCAGGGGGCTTCATCCACTCCGGGACGAGGGGTTTTTCCACTGGGAGTGAGAGTGGATGAGGGGATTCATCTGCCAACATGACTTCCTTGGCTTGTGAGGCTATAATAACTGAGCAGGATTACAAAATCTGCAAACAGAAACAATAATAAACCAAGAACCAAAGACTTAAACACACCGGAAGGTCCCGGAATTATTGAAGCAAACTTACTGTCCCAGCTATACCCCAACAGACCGTGCTCCCTATCAATTTGAGACATCATCTTAAGGAGCACATCCTCCAGGTCCTGCACTTCTTGAGATGAGTCAGGAATGTAGGTACGACATGCCTTCCCTACTACAATGCTAGTGCCCCCTTTCCCTGCCAATAGGAGGTCTAGTGCCATGTGATTTTGCAAAGCCAACTGTTTAACTGCAGACAGTTCACCTTCAACAGTCTTCATGGTAACAACTGTCTGGTTGGCCACTTTATCCATAGCCGTCTGTAAGGCCGCGACCTCAGCCTGCAAATCGGAAACCCCCGAGGCAGTGATGAAGACATGAACCCACTGCTCAGTCCTACTAATAGTCTGCCTATCTCTGAGGTGAGCTCTCACCGTCAAGGACATCTGAGGTTTGGGTACCATCCATGTAGGAGCTACCAGGTGGGCCAAATAGCAACACTGATCCCCTTCCAACCCAGACATAGAGAGAACTGTATATCTTCTTGCCCTTCCCTGATCTCCGCAGACAAACGCTGAGCAGGAAGAGGCCACCAGGGGAACAAGGCTAGAAATATTAACATCAGCCACACAATGAGAAGGCCTAGGAGAAAGGTGTGGAGAGTCAGATTGGATGCTCTGAAACACATAACCTTATTGGCACAAATGACAGCCAGGTCTACCTCAGGTGGAATTTTATCCCCCAGTGAGGATTGACAGGATCCATGTGAATATGTACAACTGCTCCATTTGGACAGGGAGGAAAAAAGGAACCTCAGAATCACACATCTGTTTAAGTTCAGTCAGGGCCGCGTCTTAAGCTAACCTCTGCCAGTTTGTCGATTTTAGCTCTTACTGCGCTACAAATCGGAGGCGGCAAAGACACCACCCTTGATCTCCCGCCCCCCACCACCTTAAGGGTCGACAAACCGGCCAGCTGCGTGAGATGGCTGATGCAGGACTCTCCAAACGCAGCGAGGTCATGATAAGTAAATGGAATGTCATAGAAGGGGCATGCAGCTGAAGTATGTGCCATATGAAGAGAAACCCACCAATCAGAAACATCCAGTTTGGTGGTCACCGCTCTGGCCAGGAGGTCTACGGCATTTGCATGGCTGGGTCCGACCTCCCTCTTCCTGTGGGTATTAAGTGATGTGAACTGGCCATCAGGGGAACATCTCAGCATTAATATACTGCCTCTCAGTATTAACAAAGAGGATAAAAAATACACTCACGCGAGAGAGAAGAAAAAGCAAACCCCATCGTTTATAATTCATTTTAGATGGGTTGCAGAAGTCCTACCGAGGCTGGGCCAGGCTGGCAGTAGGACAGGTAGATGCAGGCGTCGATACCCGCTACCTTCATGGCTTGAGGGGGGGGTTCTCTTCATAACTTGATGGAGTCCCCTCCATCTCGGTCATTGACCAAAACGTCGACCCCATAATTTCTGCTACCCTATTACCATGTAATCTTTCTCCCACAGTGTGTATCTATTGCATACTGACAGATACATACATATGAAGAGAGAACATTCATGGATGTGCATTGACTTTACATTTTGTGGCTTTGTTTTGTATTGTGAAGGGGAACAAACCAAGACATTCTGTATTCGTTCCTCACGTATGCATAACACTTAATTTCTAAGTCATTGTGCCATTTGCAATGAAAAAGCAGCAATGAAACAGCAACAATAATTAGTATTTGAGTTATTCCCGAAGCTATACAGATAACAGCCACTAGGAGGAGTACCTGCCTACCTTCATTCCAACCTGTGCACATCGACAGTGGTAGAAGCTGCACCAGAAGCCATATCTTTTGTTTTCTTTCAACAGTTTTCTATTGAAGGAAATTAAGTCAACACATTAACGCACCAACAGTGTGGCACTAGTACGTTTATAACGTGCCGTTATGCATATCTATCGTAAAGATCACGAACACTTTCGCATTTAGTTTAAGAAGTTGGGAGGAGAGAATGAATGTGTTACAAACGTCTGTGTTATTCCTCTTAAGAGAACCACATTAATAGATAATTTATATGCAGTGGCATCATTTTACAGAATCGGATTAATATCGTCTAGACTGCGACTTATTGGCTGTCTAGGTAATTACACGAACTAATATATGTGTGTGTCTGTGTATAGGCTATATATATATATATATATATATATATATATATATATATATAGAGAGAGAGAGAGAGAGAGAGTGTGCGCGCATATATATATATTTATATATATATATACGCACACACACATACTACATACTTGTTTTACAAAATTAGTTGATTGACTACGCCACATTTTTTGTTTCTTGTGTATTTAAGAGAACTCATTTAATGATGCGCCAATTTAATGACCATCCATCTAAATATTGTATGTAGGTTGCGCAGTGGCATCGTGGCGTCTCCGCTCCTAAAGGCCGTCAGCAGTCAGTGTTCAACAGGTTTCCGATGTTCGCTCCCATTGCCGCTTCCTTTGCTGGGTGGAGTGGCGACGGCGTGTTTTCCTTAAATGTTATGCTTTCGCCGAGAAATTACTTACTAACATCCTCTGTATAAAAGCCAGGAGGAAACACCCCCACCGCCCCAGGTTTCTCTTGACAATAATGGAAGGAACATTTCCTGTCTACAGAAAGGCAAATGTGTAATTTACACAAAACACGTATTACTTCAGGCCTTATATCAGTTATTGCTTATTTGTAGTTTCTGGAAACATTAAAAAAATACTTTTTCATTTGATCGCTGACGTTGACTGAAAGGTCGGCTGGTCATTTGAATTGAAAATTCATGTATATATAATAAAACTTTAGCTGTGGTTAAATATCACCATGTAAAGCTGATTAAATTTCTTATCAGTTGAAAAACTGTAAGTTAAATTCTACGGAAACAAAGGGCGGACGGGTGGCCAGCGGCTCGGCAGAATAAACACCGTGTCCATCTTTATTACTTGCGCTTGGCTCCGCCTTCCTACCTGTAAATCTCCCCTTGCTATTTTCTGAGCAGATCTGACAGCCTATATCAGTTGGCCATAGTGGGAAAGCCAGAAGGGAGTGAATGAAGAGGAGGCGAGCGAGAAAAGAGAGCGATCAGCGTGTTTTTCTTTTTGCCCCCCCCCCCCCTAATAAAAGCAGCACACCGTTGTTTGATGTCGGCACACTCGTGGATCACGGAAAGCGCATGAAAAGCTTCACCCAGCTAAGATCCATATAACCGTGCTGACCGAGGTGGAGTTTCTGAACGGGAGACGGAGCGGCGGTGTTGCGCGACGCTCCCCGCGCATCGGGAGACAGGCGCGCCGCAGAAGCCCGGGTCCCCAGCGCCGCCGGCTCTCTACAGCGCCCATAAAGAAGCTCTTCGCGGCTGCAGAATGAAGAGATCTTTGACATGGATTTGCACCTGAAGGTTTGCAAGATGCCCGATCTGACTTAAAAATAATAATAATAATAATAATAAAAATCCAGCTGGTGTCGTTGGGGCTGAGTTTTCATGCGTTTTGCGGAGACTGACACAGACTCCCTACAGGGACTTTGCATTGAAGATCGTCTCTGCGTCGCAGACTTTAGGATTATCGATTTGCGTTGAGATAAAACTGGTTAAAATATTGGAAGGGAAAAGGATTTCTGAAGCAATATGGCTGATGAGTGGGTTAGGGGGCGCTGCCTGGAGCTCACCAACGATTCTCGGTGCTAGCGAGAACAGATGGCAACGCTTCCGAAGGAATCGGCAACGAGATAATGGGTAATAATATAAAACCGGACTCGTCCTCTTACGTCATTCCCTTCACGGCGGACGTGCCCTGTGACAGCAATGGCCAGCGTATGTGGTGGGCTTTCCTTGCTTCCTCCATGGTTACTTTCTTTGGGGGACTCTTCATCATTCTCCTCTGGAGAACCCTCAGATTTCTGTGGACCGTGTGCTGCCATTGCAACATCAAAAACCAGGTAAAATGTCACTTTTTCCATCTCACCCCTTACTTTTGGAAATAATCCACGAGAGTTGGAAATATGTGTCCATCGATGTTGGATCTGTGGGGCGACCCTTGTTCAATTGTGAAAAAAAAACAACATACCCATCTAAAATAGATTATGTAGATCAGTTAAAGCCAACACGCACGCCACCCAGACATTGATAATCATTATACTTAAATAATCCGACTTAATGTACACTACTAGCTTTGGTCATTGATATTTGTGTATTTGAATGCGTTGTTATATTGGCAATAATAATTTGTTTAGTAATTTTTTACTGTAGGTTTGGCCACCACGCCAGGGTTGTTTGTTGTGTTTTACATGAAAAACTGTGCATATTCGGATGAATTTGGGTTTAATTTGAGGTAAATCCCTCAACCTGTTGAAGATTATCTGTTACCCCCCCACCCCCCTAGAAGATGCCCCCATGTTCTTTTCACCCTCATGATGTGGCCTGTATCTTTGGACATTATATGCCACCTTTGGTCCCTCTGTTTATATGTACAGATAGTAATATATTTGACAACATTAGTAGTACCGTATTTTAGTTATTTATAACTGCAGTGATTTTTTTAAATACACCTTTATATCCGTATATCTACACGGGTCAATAATGCCACGGGTCAATTCTAGTAACAATTTTATTTTTAATGGGATATTAATTTTGATTGTTTTCAAAATAATATGCATCACTATTTATTCTGACAAGCTCATAACATTTGCCAGTAGACTTGAATAGGAACTTGATCGCACTGTGGAGTTTTATTGTTAAGCGGAACCAGACACCCAGTCTTTAGCGGGAATTAATTACAATGTCGGCATCAGACACTGTTTCCAGTTTTCACACAACCTTTTGACTATAAATATTGTTTCAACTCAGTTCGTGTTTCTGAAAAAATATTGCAAAAAGTATAATCTGGAAGGTGAAATTTCACGATCGCTGTTACCGAACTTGACTGCAAATTGTTTTGTTTTCATTTGGATTTTCTTTGCTTTATTTAAAACACATATAAGTTTCCATTATCTTTTAATGGTCTCAGTTGTGCGACCTGTATGCTAACGAAATCATTCCTGCTGAGAAGGACATGCCATGCAGTGGTGGCATTTCAGTGAAATTTGCTACAGGCCAGTTGATTTATTCCTAAAAGTTGATAAATGATGTTGTGATGTCATTGCATGGGTGATGACATAATCACACAATGACGCAGAGGTGCGTCATTACGTAGAGTTCTCAGTGACGTTGCCGTTGGCCATCGATTTATGAATTAGAAATATGTTAGATTTGTTTGTTTATCACATATTGTAATGTATTTGTAAAAGTAAAATTTGTAAAAGTAATATAAACACATTTTTTAAACACAACACATTAGTAAACATTGCACACTACACATTATTGAACAATTACGTTTTATTTTCGTATTAACTAGTAAAACTAAACATTCTGAACAATTATAGTTTTAATCAGTGTATTGGTGGTTAAGACGCTACCTAACTGATCAACAGTTATAGGTACAATCTAATAACAAGATAATATCATAAATGCTATCTTATTGCAACTAGTAAGTTAACTCAAATATGATGTGTGCGCTAGTCACTTTTCTCCGGGCTGTTGTGTTGCTTGGCTGTTTAGCTGCTCAATGGTTTTCTGAAATTTTTTAAACTGAAGTCAGATCAGCTTTCAGAAGCACAAGTGTATTGCATGAGAGAGAAACCTAAAAGAGGGCAGGTAACTGCTGATGAGTTTGTTCCAGAAAACAGTGTTAAACAATAAATAACTTCATGGTGCAGTATTGTAAGCTACCTTGCTAACAAGCAATTAGCTAGTTAGCAGTGTTTCATAATAACAAGCCATTTAGATGGAAAATACATGGATTTTAGTGATTGAGTGCCCCATTAAAAGTCAAAAGTTGCACAATGAAAATTTAAAAGTAGCTAAATTTGTTGCTATCCTTCTTGAATGAAGGTTGGCAATGTATTCTGTAAAGATGCTAAGTCTAGTAGCAAAATTGCTAAGTTGGAAACGCTGAGGCCAGGACAGGATCGACATCTTTGCTGGTTCCCATGGCGTTCCAGCAAACACAATTAGAAAGCGTGTTACAGATCCGCCTCTTATCTTCATATGATTGCTATGTATCACAACAATGATATAGCAATCAATCCAGCCTCTCTCAAATGTCATTGTCCATTTGGTTAAGCAGCAATGTGCTTTATGGTTATAAGAATGGTTTATGTGCGGCATTCAAAGTGCTCTGATGAATCATTTATAGTATGCCTTATATTTCATTGTGCTGTATAGAAAAAAGCTGAACTATAACTAAATGTGAACTCTTTTCCAATAATGTATAGGTTTATTTATAGATGATTTGTTGATTTTGCATTTAGATGTTTGATATGTATATGTAACAATGCAGAGATTTGTTTGCTAGTGTCTATTGGCCTTTTGCCCTTCCCATCTCCGGATGATTCTTCATCTGAGCTGAAGTTTCTCTGGCATTTCTGGTATGCATGTTTCTGCCAAAGCTTTGAAGCAGTTTCACATTTGTTGATATCTATTATATTTGCTCAGAGATGTTGTAAGGAGTTACACGTGTGGGTTACGGCTTACAGGCAATATCACAGTGAAACACATTTAGCACTTTATCAGTGGGGTATAGTTTTAAAATGGTGTTTTCATGTGATTTCAGTAAAGTAGTGCAGACTGAAGGTATGTCCATCCATCCATCCATCCATCCATCCATCCATCCATCCATTTTCTGTTGTTTATCCAGGGCTGGGTTGCAGGGGCAGCAGCCTGAGCAGGGATGCCCAGACCTCTCTCTCCCCAGCCACCTCCTCCAACTCCTCCAGGGGAATATCAAGGTATTCCCAAGCAAGCTGAGAGATATAGTCTCTCCAGCGTGTCCTGGGTCTACCCTGGGTTTCTCCTCCCGGTTCACAGACATTCTCGAAGCGCCTCCCCAGGGAGGTGTCCAGGAGGCATCCTAGATAGATGCCCAAACCACCTTAGCT